TTTTTGTACCCGCATATCTTCTAATGTTATAATATGAGATTGTTTGGTGAGCTAGTGGTTACTCACCCCCTGCCTGTACATGTGTACAGGGAATGTTTTTGGATTTGAGGATCAAACAACTTGGCATAGTTATAAAGTGATGAGCCGTAGTGCTTTTAAATTGTTTCTTTAGTTGAGTTCTATGCTTTGTAAAGGGCAATACTCTTTTATTTATTGTAAGCCTCGGGGCATTTCTTTTATTTGTATATAAATGACATTGTTGTATCACGAGAGGGAACATGTATCTTTAATTATTCACCATTTCATCGAAAGATGAATTGACATTTGTAAATGGACTTAATTAATGAATATTCGTAATGTTATCCAAATAATAAAATATAGGGCGTGACAATTTTTCTATTATTATTTTCCTATTTGACAGTCTTAGAAATCTTCGTTTTCATTTATCCTAATTTAAAAATAAAAAACAAAAAAAAAATTATGAAAAAAAGTAAAATTTGAAACAAAAAAGATATGGATATACATATAGAACTCAAAAATATATGATAAATTTTAATTTAAAATATTTCAAATCTAATTATTAAAAAAATAAACGAAATATTTTCCTCTCAATTCCTCTATTATTATCTTTCTTAATTGGCAGTCTTATAAATCTTCCTTTCCATTTTTTCTAATTTCTAATAAAAATTTATATTTTATGAAAAAAGGTAAAATTTGAAATAAAATGGATATGGATATACATATATACTCAAAAAGATATGATAAACTTTAATTTAAAATACTTCAAATCTAATTATTAAAAAAATAAACGAAATATTTAATTCTCAATTCTTCTATTATTAGAGTTTTATTTAATTTATTTTTTTCTCTCACAATTATCTTGTTTTTATATATGTCGTTAAATTTGAACTTGAATTTTTTTTAATAATTCAAATCTAATTATTAAAATAAAAATATATATTTTACTCTCAATTTTTCTATTATTAGAGTTTTATTTAATTCGCTTTTTTCCCCCACGATTATCTTATTTACCCTATTATGGAAATAATACATGTTACTATATAATATATATACAAAATATATTTACTATTATATTTAGTAATTGCCCCCCTCAAACTCAAGGTGGTTTCTATTTTGACTTAATAATGCAGTAATGCTTTCTATTTGTTTTGTCGCATTTGTAATATCTGATATTGTCTTTGTTATGTTTTGGGTCTTTTGGTACATGTTTGGAATATTCATGTTACGAATGGAGACGCACATCAAATGGAATTTTATACTTGTCAGTGAGTTTGAAAATTGAGGTGGCCCAATACCAAATTTAATAAATGCAGATTTGCAGATTCATTAGCATAATGGTTCTCATTTAAGGAAAATGGGTGTTGTCATGGAATTTCACTTGTTTAAGATGCTCATGTTCCAAAAAAACTGAGTTCATCTGGTTGTGTATTTTTTTGGAGATATTTGTAGGTTGTATGGGATTTGAGGAGAACGTATAATCTCTAGTTACAATTGCATCATGACATTGAACTTTGATCTTACAAATTTCTTTGAGACATTTTTTCTTCAGAAGATCCATCTATTTACATATAACCAGTGAGATTATTGCATGATTTTTCCCTCCACAAAAACAAGTAATGAATGCTTAAAATGCATTTCAGTCTGATATTAGTTTTCCTTCCATGTCACAATTAGGAGGATGACAGTGCCCTTCTTCGTTTCCTGCAATGCAAGTTTGGCAAAGGACGGGTTAGCGGCCCTGAATTCTTCTATGATCCCAAATATGCCCTGCCCCTTTGCCTTAAGGAAAAGCGGATGCGGGCTTGTGTTCATATATACAGCATGATGTCCATGCATGAAGAAGCAATTGCTCTTTCTCTACAGGTAGTATTATTATTCAATTGGGTTGGTTGTGTTCATTGGTTCTTTGATTTCCTTCATCAGTAATGGCATTCTTCATACATTACCTTGTTTTTTGGCTAATGTAAGCTGTAATGGCAATAACAATTGTTCCTTATTTGACTAAAAACCACATGGTCATGTGATTGTTTGAATCATACAATTTTAATAATGGCTCATGAAAAAGATTCATTCCGGAACTTTTATGTTTTTTATTAGTGTACATAAAGAGGGTGTGGGAAAAATCACATCCTGCAGGTGCTCTTTGATGGGTCCATTGTAAATGGACATTGAACTGAAGATGTTGAAGTAGTGATACAAAGTTCACTTAATTGGTTGTATGGATGTGACTAAATTAGCTCTCTATGGTGGATAAAATTTAAATTCACCAAATTTCACCAGTTTTATTTTGTTACCATTATTCTACTAAAAAAAAAAAAGTTGTTAAATTGTTAATCACCAACTGTCTAGTATCTTTTACATGATTTGGCAGTTAACCTTCCAATATTATTATTATTATTATTATTATTATGGTTCACCTTTTTGGAATGATGAATTTAATTTCTTATGGGTTTTTCCAATTATTTTCATGTGCCAGTGGGGCAACTGATTATGTTCAAAATGGGATCAATTTTACAATCAGTTACGATCAGAATGGCTGGATGATCATTGGGGTTCTATAACCATCAAATCTGTGCCCTTCCCCCTTTCCCCCTTGTTTCCAATATACTTTATGGAGTCTTTAAACTAGATTGAAATTGGTTGGCTGCAAAGCTTTAAATTGAGATGAGTTGTCAGTTCCCTTGTATCTTTGCTATGGGTCTATTAAACTTATATTTCTTTAATTCTTTTGTCTATGAGTGTTGCAAGATTTGGGTGGTTGAGACTTGAGACATACTTTTAAAATGAGAAATGGACAAACTTACTTTGTGTCTAAAGGCTTGGAATTCAGTTTGTTGTCAATGTACTAAAGATGTATCTTGTGGTTAATTGTTTTTTCGCTTAAAATATTTTGGTACAGTTTCTTATTCACTTGCTTGTTCTTGAAAACATTAATGGTTATTTGTGCTCAAATACTGTAATCTTTTTAGAAATCTTGTATGCTGTTGTTTCATGGAGTTATTCTTTCGATGTGCTAGGTTGACCCAGAACTTGCTAAGGCTGAAGCTAACAAGGTTGAAGATGATGAACACTTCAGGAAGAAGCTCTGGCTTATGGTTGCCAAACATGTTGAGCAAGAAAAGGGAACTAAAAGGGAAAACAATCGAAAAGGAATAGCATTTTTCAAAGAAACTGACGAGCTGCTAAAAATTGAGGATATTTTGTCATTTTTTCGGACTTTGCCCTGATTGATGACTTCAAGGTAACACTTTTTTACCTTAGTGTTTCACTTATAACTAGGCTAACATTTGTTTTAATGGAAGGAAATACCGAGTGTTAGATTTTATTCTTATTTATTTATTTGTTGCTATCACAGTATCTAATTGTTGTGCTGCAATCAATGTAGTACAAGACGTTCTAATTATTCCATAGGCTTCCTTTCTTTATAATAGTGCTAAACCCTCGTTTCTCATATAAACTTCAGAGGTTGCAATGTCTAAAAACAGCTATATAACTGTATATTTTTTAAAATACATTATATGAAAAAATATCAATTTCGTAACTGTATCAATAGTTGCTTTCATATTCCCTTTCTATATTCAATAAATTAGAAAGGCAAGTTCGTGTTCTACAATATTAGAATACCATTTTCTCTAGGTCACTTGTGGGGGACTGGAATGGGAATCATCACAAGAGAATGTAGGAATAATTTGAGAAAAGAACAATAAAAAATATTTATGTTTTGATTTGTATAGCATATAGTGGTGGCGACTGGGGGTCGCAGGGAAGTGCTAGTGGTGGCAATTGCATGAAGGGTAGGGAGGGGCTGGGGTTGGCGAGAGGGCTTGGGGGCGGTAGGGTAGGATCGTGCAGTGGTGGCCAGCAAGGAATGGTCAGTGTTAATTGTTGCGGAGGGAAAAGCAGGAGAGAAGAGGAAGAAGGAAGATGAGAGTAGCTTGGTCAATTCAATAAGTAGTTTCCAACCCTTGCTAATTATTTTTCCTTCTTCGCACCAGTATTACAATTTAAAAATTCTTCACTGATTTGAGATTATATTTCCTCATTCCAACTTACTTGTAATTTTCCCTTCTCTATCACTTTTGTCTTTTTTTTTTTAATGGATTACCCTTGGGTAAGGGTCCACTCTAGGTTGCCCATGGGAACTTAAGGGTCAACTCTAGATTCCTTGGTTTTTCCCACTTGGCATTTCTTGACATGCTATGATGCATGTGCATAGTGAAAAAAATCTCTCTATTTATTTGAATAGCTATGTGCCAAACCACATGTGTCTGCTGCAAACTATTTTTCCAATGCTTCCTGTGGGCATATGCTAAACTGTCTTCATCATCTATCATTCAATTTAATTCTTTGATATGTTTGCAGGAGGCAATTTGCTCATCATTAGAGAATTACAACAAGCAAATTGAACAACTGAAACAGGAGATGAACGATGCAACAAACAGTGCTGATAACATTAGAAATGATATCAGTGCACTTGCTCAACGATATGTTGTCATTGATTATGACGAGGACTGTGGCGTAACAATATTCCTCATGTTATTTGCTATAGATCTTCTTTCTTTCTTTTTTCTTCTGATAAACTATTATTTGCAATAGGTTGGAAATGTAATCTTTTACTTTAATTTGGCTAGCCTTTGAAATGCTCCAACTAGTTCCTCAGGATTTTTTATTTTTTATCTCAGTAAGTACTAGTTTGTAAGGAATCTCCTAGCAGAAAACTTGTCTATTTTATTTGTGTTCATTTTAGAGATATTTTTTCTTTTCTATTTTCTCTTTCAAGTAGGTTGATTTTTGGCTTTAGTAATTTTATAATACTATACCGGAGCAATAGGAACTTCTAACGCACAATTGGAATTTTAGGAATCCCCCTCCCCCCTCCCCACCTCTCCCTGATTAGTGTTTCAATTCCTTTGTGATCATATCTAGTTGACTTTCATCATTAGCTGACTTGTTGCATCTATTTATCACTTGTGAGTTTCAGGTTTGTCAGAGGAAGATTCTAACTGCAGGTTGGGACCATTGGATGGCTAGGGGTTATAGGCCAGTAGGTGCAATGGCCCCTTTCTATGTCTTTCCATATGGACATGCCTTCCATGCTCAATGCCTGATTGCCCATGTCACAAGGTTTACCCACCGAGATCAAGTAAGTTCTGGAATGATTTCATATACATTTATGTATATTTGTAAAGCTGATTGGGTATTGATCCATATATCAGTGCTTTAAGTAATTTCATGTTTAAAGTGGCAATGCATGACAATAAGAGGTATTAAGATCCATTAAATCTTCTGCTTAACTACACTTGGTACTTGCTCTTGTTGTTGCCAGCATGGATGTACCACATAGAACTTAGTTAATATCCTCAAAGATGGGGTATACTAAAGCAACATTGGTGGCCTACAACAAATTTGGTTTGCAGTGGTTGTTAAAAATAAAATTAGAAAGTTTTAATATGCTTTCATCATCTTGACAACAAATAGTTTTATTAAAACTGATTTTAAAAAATGCGACTGATTTAAAAAAATGCGACTAATTTAAAACTATGCCATCATATGGGAAATAGAATTGCATATGACAACTCATTATTCAACCCTTGCTCCCAAGGGGGGAGGGCGGCTCTTTGCTGGTGGCCTCCTTGCCCAAGGTATAGGCGAATCCTTGAACAAAAAGTCCGAAATGCATTCTACCTTTTAAAATAATGACAATAAATTCGTATCACAACCGTAAATCTTGCATTTTGTATCACTGATACTCATTATACCAGTGCAAAGGTCATGTATCCATTGAGGTGTTCCTATTTTTTTTTGGTAATGCCCAATTTAGTCATCATATGGCCTATAAGCTAGGTTTGGTTGTCTTACAAATGCCAAATAGAAGCTTATGTAGAAGGGCTCACAGCGTCCTATGTCCTTAACTAGATCAAAAGAAAAATGTGGTTAGTGGTGTGCACAAATTGGGTTGGGTCGGGTTCACCCTAAACCCATCAACCGAACCGAATGTATCATGTTCATGTTTATCTCAACCGATTTTGACCCATTCTGATTCGAAACCATATCTTTCCTCAACCAAAATCAGCGGTCGGTTAAGGTCGGTTTCGACAGCATATGCATACAACACAAAAAATAGAGGAGTGAAAATGTAGACAATGATTCCAACGATGATAGTGCTTTGAGGGGAGATCAGTGATGGGGTTTCGAGGGAGAAATGTCATGACCCAAACCCGCCCCTATGGGTTTAGGCCATAACCGGCCAGTAATCCTGAGATTACCTACGGCTTCAGATCAAACCGAACATAACTCATCAGAGTAAATGGGCCAAACGGAAGCAAAATTTAAACTTTGTCCATAGAGCTATGCTTACATGGCATGCCAAAACAAACTATACATACATACATTAATAACTCACAACAGAATTACAGTACCATAGAGTTCTGTACAGACACGATCATCCAAAACTAAGTCAACCCATGAAAACTATATACAGACATATACAAAGACTTCGCCAACATGACAACATAGAACAAAATGACAAAAAGGCGAAGGCGAGTCTCATGCGTGAGACACATGAGCTGACTCTCCAACACCCGGTTGTTCCATACAGACTTCACTGGGGCTGGGGCTGGACCTCTCTTGGCTCACCTACAAAGACATGAATGAGCGTGAGCGAAAGCCCAGTGAATAATATCAAATAAAGAAAATACATTGGAACATTATACATCAGACGGCCTTGGGCCCAATTCATTCATGTCAAACTGGCCTTTGGCGGCCTTTTCAAACTTTCCTATCAAACTGGCTTTTAGGCCTTTCAGACTTTCATATCAGACTGACCTTTAAGCCTTTCAAACTTTCATATCAAACTGGCATTTGGGCCTTTCAAACTTTCATATCAAACTGGCCTTTAGGCCTTTCAAACTTTCATATCAAACTGGCCTTTAGGCCTTTTCAAACTTTCATATCAGACTGGCCTTTAGGCCTTTCAAACTTTCATATCAACTGGCCTTTAGGCTTTTCAAACTTTCATATCAGACTGGCCTTTAGGCCTTTCAAACTTTCATATCAGACTTTGTCCACCTTTCAAATTAATGAACTTTACAAAACTTACATAAAAGTAAGCAATTGGACATCAACATATTTCAAATGTCACTCACAGTGATCGGCATGTGGATTTGCCCTGGAGCTTGACCTTACATATCACATAACACATGTGGGTTACAAAAAATTCAATTCGTTCTTTAATTCACATATTCCTCTTTAAGCTTCATTCTTATCTCTTTAATTCGATTACAATGCTCAATGTATGCCTAAGAGTGCTTAGAAGTGAAAGGGAACGGAAAACAGAACACAGAATGCGTAAACAAAATTTCAGAAAACAGGGTCCCCGCTCGAGCGTGGAATTCCCCGCTCAAGCGGACCCTTAAGGCCTGCAAAAGTGCAGGTTATGTCAAAATTACGCTCGAGCGTGCCTTCTGGCGCTCGAGCGGAAAGCCTTTTTACACGGCTCCTCGCTCGAGCGTGAACTTCCCCGCTCAAGCGGAAGTCATGTCTGCAAAATATACTGGGAGCACGAATTCCATGCTCGAGCGGTCATCAAATTTTCTGGAAAATCCAAAACATGTTCTTGAGCTTCAACTTGACATTCAAAGGCTCTAAATGCACGATTTGGGCTCAAATTCCACATAAACATGTACTAACATGGTACAAACATCAAATTACAACATTTTGAAGCTCAATTTCACAAATCAAACCCATGCATGGCTCATTTTCCACCAAATTCGTTGCCAACATAATAACTTCATGCATTCAAAGCTTCTACTCCTATGGGTTGTACATGCATGTGACATATAACCCTCATTCTCATCTCATATGATGAAAAGATGGTCAAATACATGGATTTCAACCAAAGTTCATCATGAGTCATGCAATTCAAGCTCAAATATGCAAATTCAAAATGATTACATACGTGCATGCATCTATTGACTTTAAATTCAACAAATACAATTCAATTTCCTCATAATCAAGCTAATTCATGTTCTTGCCCATTAATCAAACTTGAATTCACAATTTACAACACTAAACTCATGAATTCACTTACCTAAGAGTTCAATCTTCCAAACTATAGCAATTTCTTGAGTTTAATCTTCAAATTCCCAAACATTGAGCCAAGATTACACAATTTCTCCCCCTTTCTCTCTCTATGGCCGGCCCTCTCTCTCTCACAATTGTATAACTCAGATTTTTGAGTTCCAAAGAAATAAAGGAGAGTGTATATGGCCCTATAAGTAAAAGTCCACTAACCAATTTTATAATATTAAATAATTTGAACACTAATTCATCAATTAAATCAACTAATTCTGATCTGAATCAATTTCCAATCAAATTTCATCATAGGCTCCAAAAATTACGCTGATCACAATGGCATAATCAATTTCGGGTTCTGCGGCCGGTAAGGCCTTCAATTTAATTTCCAAAGCAGACAATCAAACAGATATTCCTACGGTGAACAGATAGAAATTCAAAACTACATATTTTTACATAATGGTACACAAAATCATAGCAACACATAATCATATTCGAATTAAGGACTAATTAACATATTGTGGAATAGTGATATCACAAGAAGATCATAGGGTAGTGAGATTTGAAACCAAAGAAAGATAGATGGTGTGACGGAGATCAAAATTGATAACATAATTCATCACCACCACCAGTCGACCACTATGATTCATCACCATCATCGGTAGGCCACCATATTCCTCACCACCGTCAGTTCAACAGTATGCCATGCGAACCATTACTTATAGAATTGAGAGAGATCCAAGTGAGAGAGATCTTTGATGGGAGTGAGAAAGAGCAGGTTTAGAGAGAGAAGAACATAGGGATAAGAGGGAGAGAGTTATGCAAATTGATGAGGGTTGATGAGTATTAATTTGTGAGGTGACTTGAAGAGAGAGAAAGAAGGGGTTAGGGTAGGTGATGAGATGTTTGGCAGATCTGTGAGACAGAGAATAAAAGAAAAAATAATGTTAAAGTGATAAAGTTATTTTGTGATTAGCTAACACGTGTCTTAAAGACCAAATTTGATAAGGTGTAATCTTGTAAACCAAATATAGTTTGGCACTTGTAAAATTTATATTTAATAAACAAGATATACGGTCGGTTTGGTTTTTACGAATTTTCTGATTTTCAATCTGTTGGCCGACTGCCAATTTGAAAAATACAAGATTTGCAACTCGTAGCTGACCGTAGCAGTAGTCGAAATCATCCAATGTTTCATCTGTTCAGTCGATTTGAACGGGTTGATCGGTTGGTTCGGTTATTTGCATAGGCCTAGGTTACATATTTAGAAACCCAATGATACAACTCCCATATATGAACTTATTTAGAAGTTTTTAGTATAGCATCATCCCAAAATCATTCTGCATAGGCTTGTTTCCATTTCTGAGCTAAGCAGACCAAATTTTAACGTTCTAACCGTGTGTATATCCTCCAATATATAATAGATTTTTATAGTGGCTCTTGGTTAATTTTGTGTGAATCTAATTAGAGTTATGTTTTGTTAGAAGTGTAATTTCATAAACAAAGTCCCTTTTGCTTAATTTTTGTTTTTTGTACTTTTTCCTTCAAATGAATGTTGCAGAATCTATTCTAGATCTTCAAAAACAACTCACTTTATTGGGAGGTCAATCCAAGAAGGAGTCTAATGGTACCTTAACCGAGAAGGAATCCATAACTAGCATGACCCCGACAGATAAGGTCCTTATGATGTTTTTCATATGTGTTTAAGCAACTCAAAATTGGTGTTCAATGCATCTCTATTGTCGAATCTTCTCATGATCAACATGCAGTATTCTACTCTATTTAGTTTTTCACTGCTTTTGAGATAAGTCAATTTAATTGTAGTGTAAAAAGTCTGGAACATTGCCATAAAGTCGTGTACTCATTTTTGTTGCTTCCTTCTCATGCCCTTGGTTTTTCTCCAGTTGCTCTTTTTTTCTTTTTTAATTGTTGTTGTTTGTTGGGCGTTCAAAAACTTTGGAAGTAAAATAAAAGGACTTTAGTTGTGGTACCTATGTGTTGATTGTTGCAGTGTAAGAAGTACGGGCGCAAACAAGTGACTTGACACGGACACACAAATTTTCATAAAATATAGGAGACGACACATTGAGGATGCATGCAAAACATGTAATTTATATAATATTATATATTTATTTTGTGTCAAATATTTACATCAAATTTCTCAACCTTGAGTATGCTATTTCAGTTTTTAAAAAAAGGGTTAAAAATAGAGCGTGTCCCTAGTGTGTTCCTGGCCAACAAGTGTCGTTTACTGGTACATGACCTTCGAAGACGTGTCTCTGCTTCACAGGTTGCAGTTAGTGGTGAATTAAATGATGATAATGATGTTGTTCTTGTTCTTATTTCAATATAAATGATGGATTTTTGCTTCAAATGCTTTTGTAAATGAGATAGCATTATTTCATTTGATTTTCTTGTGCCAATTTACTCTAGAATAAATTTCATACCCTGCTGCTAACTGATTCATAAATTGTAGCTTCTTACATAGTGAATTAGACGAACTAAAAAATGTTGATTTGCTTGTACAGATACGCTCACAATTGGATGATACCATAGCTAGCAAATGCCCATTTTGTGGTGACTTGATGATTCGAGAGATATCTTTGCCTTTTATCCTCCCTGGAGAAGCATACGAGGCTGCTTCCTGGGAAATAAGGCCACATAACATTGGAGCCTAGAAGAGCCTTTCTTTATATAAATGATGGATTTTTGCTTCAAATGCTTTTGTGAATGAGATAGCATTATTTCATTTGATTTTCTTGTGCCAATTTACTCTAGAATAAATTTCATACCCTGCTGCTAACTGATTCATAAATTGTAGCTTCTTACATAGTGAATTAGACGAACTAAAAAATGTTGATTTGCTTGTACAGATACGCTCACAATTGGATGATACCATAGCTAGCAAATGCCCATTTTGTGGTGACTTGATGATTCGAGAGATCTCTTTGCCTTTTATCCTCCCCTGGAGAAGCATACGAGGTTGTTTCCTGGGAAATAAGGCCACATAACATTGGAGCCTAGAAGAGCCTTTCTTTGGCTGTATGACTGAATGCCTTAATGGATTTGCAATGCAGGTTATCATTGATCCATGTGCATGGCTGTTTTGAGGGGGTCTTTTAATTTGTGTTTTGCTTTATCATCTTTATTCTTGGTGGTATATGGTTTCAACAAGTTATGATTTATGTTACGCAGAATGCATTCTTTCTTCTGCTAATTGGTTGTGTACATTTGAGAGGTTATATCTACTACCCTTTAGCTATCAGAGTGGTATCCATTACATCTCAGGTGTACTCGAATGTATGTTCCTAATAGTTTGTTATAGGCTCATCTGTAGAATTTTGACAGAGACGCATTGATGAACTAAATCACGAGAATTCACAATAGAAAACTTTTCTACGAACCCAATGAATGTGATTTCCATTCAGAGTTCATATGAATGTGATTTTCTTCTACAAAGCCTATTTTGTATTTTTTTTTTTTCTTTTTCCCCCTCAGTTTTTCCAAATCATTCTCATTTCTTCGATGTGTAACACTTCTACATGTATTGTTGTGAATGGGAGTCCCTTTTGAGCCTTTCCACGCCCATGTTGTTGTCTTGGTCAAGGAGACCTAAAGTTGTTCTTCCATATTTTTCATAAATGTTGTGTTCCTTTGATGTAGCCATTTTTTTGTACTTACTCCAATATATTCTCAATCATTATGTGAAATAAAAAAACAAAAAATAAATAAATCACATTTATTTTTCTTGAGATTTGAAAACATGCAGTTAGTTTTATATTTCTAATATAATTTCACTATCCTTTTTTGATATTTTAATTCATATTAATAATTTGTAAGTCGTATGAATGAGAAAAATAATATGATCATGTAAATTTTTATTAAATTGTATATTTATCTTTGTTTATTTATATCTCTACCCACCATATAGATTTGATAGCTCAAATCTACTATAACATAAATTAGTATAATTATGTTAAGTTCATGAAGTTAATTGCATTTTTATTAAATTTCATGAGAGATGAGTGGATTTATCTAAATACAAATGAATAATGAGTAACAAGATAATTATATATTTTTATAGTTAAGGTTATTAAAATGTATAAATTTGTAAATAAAAAATAAAAATAATATTTATTAATAATTAATATTTGTTAATAATTGAGATAGAGATAGGAATGGCTGATTTGAGATTATATTTCCTAATTCCAACTTATTTGTAATTTTCCCTTCTCTCTCTCTTTTTTTCCTAATGGATTACCCTTGGGTAAGGGTCAACCCTAGGTTGCCCATGGGAACTTTAAGGGTCAACTCTAGATTCCCTGGTTTTTCCGACTTGGCATTTCTTGACATGCTATGATGTATGTGCATTGTGAAAAAAATCTCTCTTTTTATTTGAATAGCTATGTGCCAAACCACATGTATCTGCTGCAAACTGTTTTTCCAATGCTTCCTGTGGGCATATGCTAAACTGTCTTCATCATCTGTCATTCAATTAAATTCTTTGATATGTTTTTAGGAGGCAATTTGCTCATCATTAGAGGATTACAACAAGCAAATTGAACAACTAAAACAGGAGATGAACGATGCAACACACGGTGCTGATAACATTAGAAATGATATCAGTGCACTTGCTCAACGATATGTTGTCATTGATTGTGACGAGGACTGTGGCGTAACGATTTTCCTCATGTTATTTGCTATAGATCTTCTTTCTTTCTTTTTTCTTCTGATAAACTATTATTTGCAATAGGTTGGAAATGTAATCTTTTACTTTAATTTGGCTAGCCTTTGAAATGCTCCAACTAGTTCCTCGGGATTTTTTATTTGTTATCTCAGTAAGTACTAGTTTGTAAGGAATCTCCCAGCAGAAAACTCGTCTATTTCATTTGTGTTCATCTTAGAGATATTTTTTCTTTTCTATTTCCTGTTTCAAGTAGGTTGATTTTTGGCTTTAGTAATTTTATAGTACTATACCAGAGCAATAGGAACTTCTAACGCACAATTGGTATTTTAGGAATCCCCCTCCCACCTCCCCACCTCTCCCTGATTAGTGTTTCAATTCCTTTGTCATCATATCTAGTTGACTTTCATCATTAGCTGACTTGTTGCATCTATTTATCACTTGTGAGTTTCAGGTTTGTCAAAGGAAGATTCTAACTGCAGGTTGGGACCATTGGATGGCTAGGGGTTATAGGCCAGTAGGTGCAATGGCCCCTTTCTATGTCTTTCCATATGGACATGCCTTCCATGCTCAATGCCTGATTGCCCATGTCACAAGGTTTACCCACCGAGATCAAGTAAGTTCTGGAATGATTTCATATACATTTATGTATATTTGTAAAGCTGATTGGGTATTGATCCATATATCAGTGCTTTAAGTAATTTCATGTTTAAAGTGGCAATGCATGACAATAAGAGGTATTAAGATCCATTAAATCTTCTGCTTAACTACACTTGGTACTTGCTCTTGTTGTTGCCAGCATGGATGTACCACATAGAACTTAGTTAATATCCTCAAAGATGGGGTATACTAAACCAACATTGGTGGCCTGCAACAAATTTGGTTTGCAGTGGTTGTTAAAAATAAAATTAGAAAGTTTTAATATGTTTTCATCATCTTGACAACAAATAGTTTTATTAAAATTGATTTTAAAAAATGCGACTAATTTAAAACTATGCCATCATATGGGAAATAGAATTGCATATGACAACTCATTATTCAACCCTTGCTCCCAAGGGGGGAGGGCGACTCTTTGCTGGTGGCCTCCTTGCCCTAGGTGTAGGCGAATCCTTGAACAAAAAGTCTGAAATGCATTCTACCTTTTAAAATAATGACAATAAATTCGTATCACAACCGTAAATCTTGCATTTTGTATCACTGATACTCATTATACCAGTGCAAAGGTCATGTATCCATTGAGGTGATCCTATCTTTTTTTGGTAATGCCTAATTTAGTCATCATATGGCCTATAAGCTAGGTTTGGTTGTCTTACAAATGCCAAACAGAAGCTTATGTAGAAGGGCTCACAGCGTCCTATGTCCTTAACTAGATCAAAAGAAAAATGTGGTTAGTGGTGTGCACGAATTGGGTTGGGTCGGGTTCACCCTAAACCCATCAACCGAACCGAATGTATCGTGTTCATGTTTATCTCAACTGATTTTGACCCATTCTGATTCGAAACCATATCTTTCCTCAACCAAAATCAGCGGTTGGTTAAGGTCAGTTTCGACAGCATATGCATACAACACAAAAAATAGAGGAGTGAAAATGTAGACAATGATTCCAACGATGGTAGTGCTTTGAGGGGAGATCAGTGATGGGGTTTTGAGGGAGAAGTGTCGCGACTTGAACCCGCCCCTATGGGTTTAGGCCATAACCGGCCAGTAATCCTGAGATTACCTACGGCTTCAGATCAAACCGAACATAACTCATCAGAGTAAAGGGGCCAAACAGAAGCAAAATTTAAAACTTTGTCCATAGAGCTGTGCTTACATGGCACGCCAAAACAAACTATACATACATACATTAATAACTCACAACAGAATTACAGTACCATAAAGTTCTGTACAGACAAGATCATCCAAAACTAAGTCAACCCATGAAAACTATATACAGACATATACAAAGACTTCGCCAACATGACAACATAGAACAAAATGACAAAAAGGCGAAGGCGAGTCTCGTGCGTGAGACACATGGGCTGACTCTCCAAAACTCGGTTGTTCCATACAAACTTCACTGGGGCTGGGTCTGGACCTCTCTTGGCTCACCTACAAAGACATGAATGAGCGTGAGCGAAAGCCCAGTGAATAATATCAAATAAAGAAAATACATTGGAACGTTATACATCAGACGGCCGTGGGCCCAATTCATTCATGTCAAACTGGCCTTTGGCCTTTTCAAACTTTCCTATCAAACTGGCCTTTAGGCCATTCAGACTTTCATATCAGACTGGCCTTTAGGCCTTTCAAACTTTCATATCAGACTGGCCTTTAGGCCTTTCAAACTTTCATATCAAACTGGCCTTTAAGTCTTTCAAACTTTCATATCAGACTGGCCTTTAGGCCTTTCAAACTTTCATATCAACTGGCCTTTAGGCCTTTCAAACTTTCATATCAGACTGGCCTTTAGGCCTTTCAAACTTTCATATCAACTGGCCTTTAGGCTTTTCAAACTTTCATATCAGACTGGCCTTTAGGCCTTTCAAACTTTCATCTCAGACTTTGTCCACCATTCAAATTAATGAACTTTACAAAACTTACATAAAAGTAAGCAATTGGACAACAACATATTTCAAATGTTACTCACAGTGATCGGTTTGTGGATTTGCCCTGGAGCTTGACCCTACATATCACATAACACATATGGGTTACAAATGATTCAATCCGTTCTTTAATTCACATATTCATCTTTAGGCTTCATTCTTATCTCTTTAATTCGATTACAATGCTCAATGTATGCCTAAGAGGGCTTAGAAGTGAAAGGGAACGGAAAACAGAACACAGAATGCGTTAACAAAATTTCAGAAAACAGGGTCCCCGCTCAAGCGTGGAATTCCCCGCTCGGGGGGACCCTTAAGGCCTGCAAAAGTGCTGGTTATGTCAAAATTACGCTCGAGCGGAAGGCCTTTCTACACGGCTCCCCGCTCGAGCGTGAACTTCCCCGCTCGAGCAGAAGTTAAGTCTCCAAAATATGCTGGGAGCACGAATTCCACGCTCGAGCGGCGGTTCCTCGAGCGGTGGTTTCCCCGCTCGAGCGGGAATCAAAATTCTGGAAAATCCAGAACATGTTCTTGAGCTTCAACTTGACATTCAAAGGCTCTAAATGCACGATTTGGGCTCAAATTCCACATAAACATGTACTAACATGGTACAAACATCAAATTACAACATTTTGAAGCTCAATTTCACAAATCAAACCCATTGATGGCTCATTTTCCACCAAATTCGTTACCAACATAACAACTTCATGCATTCAAAGCTTCTACTCCCATGGATTGTACATGTATGTGACATATAACCCTCATTCTCATCTCATATGATGAAAAGATGGTCAAATACATGGATTTCAACCAAAGTTCATCATGAGTCATGCAATTCAAGCTCAAATATGCAAATTCAAAATGATTACATACATGCATGCATCTATTGACTTTAAATTCAACAAATACAACTCAATTTCCTCATAATCAAGCTAATTCATGTTCTTGCCCATTAATCAGACTTGATTACCCAACTAGCTTGAATACACAAAATTACAAACTAGAATCCATGAAATACTCACCTAGGAGCTTTGATTCTCACAATCTATAACAAATTCTTGGGAAATCTTCAAGGTTTCCAAGCTTTGAGCCAAAATTGCACAATTTCTCCCCCTTTCTCTCTATGGCCGGCCCTCTCTCTCTCACAATTATATAACTCAGATTTTGAGTTGCAAAGAAATAAAGGAGAGTGTACAAGGCCCTATAAGTAAAAGTCCACTAACCAAAATTATAATATTTAATAATTTGAACACTATGCTAGTAATTAAATCAATTTAATCTGATCCGAATCAATTTTCAATTAAATTTCACCATAGGCCCCAAAAATTACGCTAATCACAATGGTGTAATCAATTTCGGGTTCTGCGGCCGGTAAGGCCTTCAATTTAATTTTCAAAGCAAACAATCAAACAGATATTCCTACGGTGAATAGATAGAAATTCAAAACCACATATTTTCACATAATGGTACACAAAATCATATCAACACATAATCATATTCGAATTAAGGACTAATTAACATATTGTGGAACAAGGATATCACAAGAAGATCATAGGGTAGTGAGATTTGAAACCAAAGAAAAATAGATGGTATGACCGAGATCAAAATTGATAACATGATTCATCACCACCACCAGTCGACCACTATGATTCATCACCGTCATCGGTAGGCCACCATATTCCTCACCACTGTCAGTTCAACAGTATGCCATGCGAACCATTACTTATAGAATTGAGAGAGATCCAAGTGAGAGAGATCTTTGATGCGGGTGAGAAAGAGCAGGTTTAGAGAGAGAAGAACATAGGGATAAGAGGGAGAGAGTTATGCAAATTGATGAGGGTTGATGAGTATTAATTTGTGAGGTGACTTGAAGAGAGAGAAAGGAGGGGTTAGGGTAGGTGATGAGATGTTTGGCAGATCTGTGAGACAGAGAATAAAAGAAAAAATAATGTTAAAGTGATAAAGTTCTTTTGTGATTAGCTAACACGTGTCTTAAAGACCAACAAATTTGATAAGGTGTAATCTTGTAAACCAAATATAGTTTGGCACTTGTAAAATTTATATTTAATATACAAGATATACGGTCGGTTTGGTTTTTACGAATTTTCTGATTTTCAATCTGTTGGCCGACCGCCAATTTGAAAAATACAAGATTTGCAACTCGTAGCCGACCGTAGCAGCAGTCGAAATCATCCAATGTTTCATCGGTTCAGTCGATTTGAACGGGTTGATCGGTTGGTTCGGTTATTTTCATAGGCCTAGGTTACATATTTAGAAACCCAATGATACAACTTACATATATGAACTTATTTAGAAGTTTTTAGTATATCATCATCCCAAAATCATTCTGCGTAGGCTTGTTTCCATTTCTGAGCTAAGCAGACCAAATTTTAACGTTCTAACCATGTGTATATCCTCCAATATATAATAGATTTTTATAGTGGCTCTTGGTTAATTTTGTGTGAATCTAATTAGAGTTATGTTTTGTTAGAAGTGTAATTTCATAAACAAAGTCCCTTTTGCTTAATTTTTGTTTTTTGTACTTTTTCCTTCAAATGAATGTTGCAGAATCTATTCTAGATCTTCAAAAACAACTCACTTTATTGGGAGGTCAATCCAAGAAGGAGTCTAATGGTACCTTAACCAAGGAGGAATCCATAACTAGCGTGACCCCGATAGATAAGGTCCTTATGATGCTGCTGACTGATTCATAAATTGTAGCTTCTTACATAGTGAATTAGACGAACTAAAAAATGTTAATTTGCTTGTACAGATACGCTCACAATTGGATGATACCATTGCTAGCAAATGCCCATTTTGTGGTGACTTGATGATTCGAGAGATCTCTTTGCCTTTTATCCTCCCCTGGAGAAGCATACGAGGTTGTTTCCTGGGAAATAAGGCCACATAACATTGGAGCCTAGAAGAGCCTTTCTTTGGCTGTATGACTGAATGCCTTAATGGATTTGCAGTGCAGGTTATCATTGATCCATGTGCATGGCTGTTTTGAGGGGGTCTTTCAATTTGTGTTTTCCTTTATCATCTTTATTCTTGGTGGTATATGGTTTCAACAAGTTATGATTTGTGTTACGCAGAATGCATTCTTTCTTCTGCTAATTGGTTGTGTACATTTGAGAGGTTGTATCTACTACCCTTTAGCTATCAGAGTGGTATCCATTACATCTCAGGTGTACTCGAGTGTATGTTCCTAATAGTTTGTTATAGGCTCATCTGTAGAATTTTAACAGAGACGCGTTGATGAACTAAATCACGAGACTTCACAATAGAAAACTTTTCTACGAACCCAATGAATGTGATTTCCATTCAGAGTTCATATGAATGTGATTTTCTTCTACAAAGACTATTTTGTATTTTTCTTTTCTTTTTCCCCCTCAGTTTTTCCAAATCATTCTCATTTCTTCGATGTGTAACACTTCTACATGTATTGTTGTGAATGGGAGTCCCTTTGAGCCTTTCCACGCCCATGTTGTTCGTCTTGGTCAAGGAGACCTAAAGTTGTTCTTCCATATTTTTCATAAATGTTGTCTTCATTTGATGTAGCCATTTTTTTTTACTTACTCCAATATATTCTCAGTCATTATGTGAAATAAAAAAAACAATAAAAAAACAAAAAATAAATAAATCACATTTATTTTTCTTGAGATTTGAAAACATGCAGTTAGTTTTATATTTCTAATATAATTTCACTATCCTTTTTTGATATTTTAATTCATATTAATAATTTGTAAGTCGTATGAATGAGAAAAATAATATGATCATGTAAATTTTTATTAAATTGTATATTTATCTTTGTTTATTTATATCTCTACCCACCATATAGATTTGATAGCTCAAATCTACTATAACATAAATTAGTATAATTATGTTAAGTTTATGAAGTTAATTGCATTTTTATTAAATTTCATGAGAGATGAGTGGATTTATCTAAATACAAATGAATAATGAGTAACAAGATAATTATATATTTTTATAGTTAAGGTTATTAAAATGTATAAATTTGTAAATAAAAAATAAAAATAATATTTATTAATAATTAATATTTGTTAATAATTGAGATAGAGATAGGAATGGTAATTGGGGAGACAAAAGAGGCGGCGAAAATAGAAAGGCGTGCTAACAATCATGTAAAGTACGAAATCAGACGCAAGTGCATCCAGTTGCAACCGACGGACTTGTCTCTCTCTCCTCACACCACCCCAACTCTGCCATAATCCTCATCAATAAGTAATGTGTCATTTATTGTATTATTTAAGAATAATGTTATATGTATCAGTTAACATACTAATTAGTATACTAACAAATGATGTGACATAATTTTAAAACTTTTGGATATTTATAATATGTATAATAGATAGGGTCAGTAATATGACATAACACTAGTTGATACACTAGTGTATACATTAATTAGTGCATGTAACACCACCGTTTATTTAAAAAATCATATGTATATAACACTTTATTTGTTTTATAAAATATAATTGTATTAATTTAATGAATCTTACTATTCATATATATTATTAATGTAATTATAACTCATAAGATAATAAATAAAATATGAATATTATTGTTATTAAAATCACTCTGATTTTATATAAGAAAAACTACAAGTAATTGACCAAAACTAATTACAATGCATGGGAAGCTAGTCATTCTTATGTAGAAAAATACACAAAATTACACACTACAAAATTGTTACTTTATTTTGGGTAATAAAATGCTTCACCTCCCAATTACATTCTTTATTCTTGAACTTTCAATTGAATTTATTAAGTTTTTAAAATATTTAATTCAAATTTATTCAATTCTTAAAAAACTTTTACAAAAATATATAAATTTATAAACATTATAAATTAATAAAATATTCTACTTAGATTTTATTCCGAGTCCCAACACACCCACGGCCTTATCTGTGGAGAAAATTCACCACTCGCTCTGCTTTCTTTCAAACTTGCATGTGCTGGTTTTGATGACCAATTTGGGTCTCTTTGCAATACTCATTGGTTTTTCAAATGGCTATAACTAAATCTAAATTTTCCCAAATAATAATTTAACTTCTATTTTTGTTTATTATCTTCTCTTTTTTTTTTCCCAATTCCTCATGTTTTGACTTCTTGAAACAATTCCGTCGTCAGAAAGTTCTTGATTAGTTTAATGGATATTGTCAATGGTTGAAACTTTCGACAGCTGAAAGTAACAACACATATATAGAAGATTACAAAATGTATGCACCAAAACGTAGAGCAACATTTTGGCACAAAATCATCTATGAAATCTAAGCATATCGCCCTCTCCTCATCCCCCTAGTCACAAAGTGCTTCCTTGAGGGGTAAGTGGACCAAAAGATCAACCAATAGCTCTTAGCTTCCTTCACAACACTGGTCCAAAATATCTCATTGAAACCATTCCTAGAATCGTACTCTTACCTAATACTTTGCACTACCACCAAATATTGGACTTCATAGTTATAGATGACTGAATTTTGAAATTGAATTACGTGTGTGTTTAAAGTAGATGCAAAATTGCTGTGACAACAATATATGACAACCCTCTCCATGATGGATTGTTTACTTAGAAGATGCTTTCTTTCACACTACGATCCTCAAAAATGAAACTAGGAAGCATTAATACCAAATAACAGTAGTTCACAACCTGAACACTAACGCAAAAGGTTGAATTAGTATATTTTGAATCATCGGTATTATTGCCAAAGTATTTGAAACAAACTTCGAACATCATATTGAGGCTCTTTGCATTTAAAATATATATAAATTAAATTAATAAAAAATTAGGAAAAAAAATTAAAAACTTCAGAAAGACATGTAATTTTGAGTCTCCACGATCTAAATCACAATGAAGATCAAAATAGCAGTATAAAGTTTCTTCACATAGTCAAGCATAATTTGAAGTAATAAATCATCTATATTGCTAGCATAATTTGCATACATCCTTGCCATTGTGCTTCAGAAATAATTATACTTCATGTGAGAAACTAGAAGAATAAAATTAATCCAGCCTACTTGCCAAATTCTATATTGGATAAAACATCACCTTGCCAAAAAGCATAAAACTTAAAGATGCCAATAAGTACAAATACTTTCAAATCTCGAGAAATAAAGTCAAATTTTGCATTTGAAATTGAATGAGCCCATTGAAATTCTTTAAGCATTTAAAATAACCTTGATATTTATAAAATACTATAGAATAAAACCAAATCAGGATTTCATTAAATGACCTCATTTTAATTGGGGGGGGGGGGGGGGGTTTTAAGCACAGGGAACCATAAACTGTCTCTGCTGAGACATCCTCACTACTTCAGGGATAACTATTCTGAGTTAAGTGATTTTGATGTACAGTTTAAAAATAAATAAATAAAAGTGATTTTGATGTAGCATAATGTTAGATGTTAGATATACATACGAAAAGGAAAAGAACAATCAGAAGAAGAGAAGAACCAAGAGACTGCTGTGTTTTTTGTGTTCATTATCTTACCCTTAAACATATTAGGGTTACACATATTTACAATAAAAGACTAAAAAAGCAAATGACATAACTACCCTTACACACTAATACTTAACACTCCCCCTCAAGTTGGTGCAGAAATATCTCTCACGCCCAACTTGCAACAAATAGGGTGGAAAACCTTACTACTAAGACCCTTAGTAAAGACATCAGCCAATTGATCTTCAGACTTTACAAAAGGCATGCATATTAAACCCTTATTCAACTTCTCCTTGATGAAATGTCTGTCGATCTCAATATGCTTTGTTCTATCATGCTGAACAGGATTGTGAGTAATACTAATGGTCGCTTTGTTGTAACAATACAGTGTCAATGGTTCACTACAAACAAACCCAATATCATTCAACAAGGACTGGAGCCACATCAGTTCACATATACCATGCGCTATAGCCCTGTATTCTGCCTCTGCACTAGATCTAGACACCACTGTTTGTTTCTTACTACGCCATGTGACTAAATTTCCTCCCACAAATGCACAGTAACCGGAGGTAGATCGCCTGTCATCTATAGAACTAGCCTAATCAGCATCTGCGAACTCCTCCAACCTCAAGTGACCATGATTGGAAAATAAAATCCCTTTTCCAGGAGCAGATTTAAGGTACCTCAAAATGCAGTACACTGCATCCAAATGAAGTGCACGAGACTCATGCATAAATTGACTGTAACGCCCCAAAAAAAATACACAATAAAAGTACACCAACCACCACTACTCAACGAAGCCCTCGCTTAGCTCTCCAAAATTAGTGAAGGATGATGGGTCAAAACTCCAATGGATGGCAAGAGATCAAGAGTTTGTGATGTTTGGTGGAGGTTTTCAGAGAGAGGAAAAGATGTCTTTAGAGAGAGAGAAGTGTAAAAAATGAGATACACTCAGCCCAAGAAGAGAAGAAAAGACAAATTTTTGGACTTAGCAGACTCCTGCACGTGCGGCACCCACTCTCGCACGTGTGGCAACCCACTCCGCATGTGCGGCTCTCACCCCCATACGTGCAGCACTCTCCCCGCACCTCCTTCCGCACCTGCATATAATGCAGTAGCCAACCCAAAATTTCCCTTCCTCGCCGCACGTGCAGCCTCTCCTCCCGCACGTGCGGCCCTGCTCCCAGTCAGAAAAATTCACCAACTCAACTTGTGACACCCCAGATCCAACCTTACACCTCCTGATCCAAGTGAACTAGACATCGAAATAAATAAGAACAAGAATTTTGAGAAAAGTTTTCAAAAACGAGTCCAAACAATTGACACAACTTCACATCAAAACCCGACACTCTAACAAGAGTTAGCCCAACATAACTCAAAGAGGACGAAGTGGTTTACGTACTCGGTCATCACATTGGCTCACTATCCCAACTGCATAGGGAATATCTGGACGAGTGTGAAATAAATATATAAGCCTTCTCACAAGTCGTTGGTACCGTTCCTTCTCCACAAGATCACCAACACCACTACAAAGATGGTGATTAGCCTCAATTGGCAAATCAACAGGTCGGCAACCTAACATGCCAGTTTCCTCGAGAAGATCCAGGATGTACTTTCACTAAGAAATGAAGATGCCTTTGTCAGATCTGGCAACTTTAATCCCAAGAAAGTACCTCAACAAACTAAGGTCTTTGATCTCAAATTCCTTGGCCAACATCTTTGTTTGGTTTGTGCTTCTACTTTCGGTTTGTAATTGTTCTCCCTCTCCTCTATAAAGGAGAGAGCTCAACACACCATTAGATAATAATCTCAATCAATAATACATCAATTTTAACATATACTACAAGCACACCTTATCTGCATGGCGTTTGACGAACATTGTGTGATCTGCATTACTTTGCTTATACACGAATCTCAACATAGCCTTCCAGAATCTGTCAAACCAAGCTTGAGGAGACTGTTTCAACCCATATAACCCCTTTTTCAACCTACAAACTTTCCCAACTGTAGACTGAGATAAGAATCCTGGTGGTACATCCATATACACCTCCTCCTCCAAATTACCATGGAGAAATGCATTATTCACATCTAACTCCTGTAAAGGCCATCCCAAATTAGCTATACATGAAAGAATAGCTTGAATGGAATTCATCTTTGCTACAGGAGCAAAGGTTTCTTGATAATCAATTCCATAAGTCTGAATAAACCCTTTGGCCACTGGTCATGCTTTGTACCGTTCAATTGTTTCATCTGCTTTCTGCTTAATTGTGAACACCCACTTACACCATACAGGTTTTTTTTCCCTAGGAAGAGGAACCAACTCCCAAGTGTCATTCTTGCTTATAGCTTGCATCTCTTCTACCATAGCTAATTTCCACTTAGGATTATCGATAGCTTCCTTCCAACCCTGGGAATACACGTAGAAGACAAAGACAAAATAAAAGCACGGTATGTAAAAGACAATGAATCATATGACACAAATTTAGAGATAAGGTGTTGAGTACAAGCCCTAACCCCTTTTCTAAGAGCAATAGGAAGACTCGAATCATCGACAACGGGACTATCAACTACAAATAGAGGAATAGACTGAGGTGCATTACCTAGAACTAGCATAAGGGATGATGATGGGTCTAGTGACACAAGGAAAGCTTGCTCTTTCGGACGCCGAAAATAAGTCTTAAAATCAGCCCTGTCCAAATGACCACCAATGTTAGGCTCCACATCAAGAGAACTATTAGGATCCCCCTCACCACAAATAACAGTCCGCTGATAGGGAAGGAAAAAAAGATAACTCGTGTTGATAGGCCATCTTCTCATCTGCAATCTCATCCATAACACTACTCTCCCCCGAAGGAGATGGCGGAGAAGAAGGAAAGAAGGCCTCAGATTCACGAGTGACATCCATACTAACATACACTTTACGAGTGTGAGGATCATAGCATTTGTAACCCTTCTGAGTACAAAATAACCAATAAAGACACAACACACAGCCTTAGGATCGAGTTTTCCACAATTATGAGATTGCAAATGAACAAAACAACCACACCTAAACACCCGAGGAGGAAGAGAAGGGATGGGATATACAACAAGAAGTAGTTGAAGAGGAATTTGAAATTGGAGGACACTAGAAGGCATACGGTTAATAAGGTAAGCAGCGGTAAGAACAGCATCACCCCAAAAAGACTTAGGGACATTCATGGTAAACAAGAGAGAGCGAGCAACTTCAAGAAGATGGCCATTCTTGTGTTCGGCAACTCCATTCTGTTGAAGAGTACCAACACAACTAGTCTGATAAAGAATGTCATGCTCCACTAAGTATGCTCAAAAAACGCCATCAACATACTCAGTCCCATTATCACTTCGAAGAATTTTAATTTGAGTATTAAAAAGATTGGTCACCATTTTATGAAAAGTTTGGAAACAAGAAAAAACTTCACTCTTAGTTCGAAGCAAGTAAATCCAAGTCATGCGGGAATACACAACACACAGCCTTAGGATCGAGTTTTCCACAATTATGAGATTGCAAATGAACAAAACAACCACACCTAAACACCCGAGGAGGAAGAGAAGGGATGGGATATACAACAAGAAGTAGTTGAAGAGGAATTTGAAATTGGAGGACACTAGAAGGCATACGGTTAATAAGGTAAGCAGCGGTAAGAACAGCATCACCCCAAAAAGACTTAGGGACATTCATGGTAAACAAGAGAGAGCGAGCAACTTCAAGAAGATGGCCATTCTTGTGTTCGGCAACTCCATTCTGTTGAAGAGTACCAACACAACTAGTCTGATAAAGAATGTCATGCTCCTCTAAGTATGCTCAAAAAACGCCATCAACATACTCAGTCCCATTATCACTTCGAAGAATTTTGATTTGAGTATTAAAAAGATTGGTCACCATTTTATGAAAAGTTTGGAAACAAGAAAAAACTTCACTCTTAGTTCGAAGCAAGTAAATCCAAGTCACGCGGGAATAACAATCAATAAATGTAACAAACCATCGATATCCAGAAGTAGAAACCACCGGGAAAAGGCCCTACACATCAATATGAATAAGCATAAAAGGAAAAGTACTTCTTTGATTAATTGAAGGGTAACAAGTACGTTTATGCTTTGCAAGTTCACAAGCATCACAACCAAAAATGTTCCTAGGACAATCACAAACTAAAGAAGGAAAAAGTTTCTCTAAAACACTAACGGAAAGATGACCCAAACGGCAATGCCACTGATGGAGGAGATGAAGAGGGGAGCCATTAGTGCACTTAAGAGCCTGAGATGAAACAGCAAGAGGAACGACATCCAGAAAGTATAGCCCACCTTGTGCTCTAACATTGCCAATCGTTTTCCCCATAGCCAGTTCCTGAAAGACACAATGAGTAGGAAAAAAGGTCACTGAGCAATTTATAGTAGTAAGACTACTAACAGAAAGCAAGTTAGTGGAAAAATTAGGAACATGAAGTACAAATGAAAGAGAAAGTGAAAGAGGAATAATGAACCGAACCCTTCCCGGAGACGGAGGATAAAGTGCCATCAGCCACTTGAACCTTGTCTCGGCCAGAACACGGAGAATAAGAATAAAAAAGACTAGAGGCACCTGTCATGTGGTCGATGGCACCTGAATCAATAATCCAAGACGGTGATGAGGATGTACTAAGAGCACTAGCAGGAATACCTGTGTGGGCAAAATTGGAAGAAGCTGGAGTGGAAGAAACTGTGGTAGAAGGAGAATCAAGTCAAGCCATCAAACACCTAAGAGTGTGTAACTCATCTTGGGAAAAAGTAATGGGCTCACAAGGAGTAAATCTCAAACACATGTGCTTGGGGACGAGCTGTACTACCCCAACCCCAACCCCAAGTAGGGCGACCATTCAATTTCCAACAATGTTCTCAATCATGTCCGTCTTTCCCACAATAATCACACTTCAATCGATCTCGATCGACTAATGTACCCTGAGTACCAGACTAGGCCAAGGAGCTCGAGTTGGAGAAGCAACAACCAAAGCAGAATGATCTTGAATAGAAGAATGGACCATAGCACTACGTCGACTCTCCTCTTGTCGGACAAGGGCATAAGCCTCACGGAGGATGGGAAAAGGTGAACGACCCAACACCTGGACGCGAATCTGATCAAACTCCAAGTTCAAGCCAGCAAGAAAGTCATACACACACTCCTTCTCCACGATTTGCTGAAACAAAGTGGCATCTTGGGAACAAATAGCCTGGAAGCTTTGGTAACGGTCTAATTCCTGCCACAAACTACTCAACTCAGCATAGTATACTGCAAGTGATCTATCCTTCTGATCTAAGCTCCGAAGCTTCTTCCTCAACTCATACGCATGTGCATCATTATCCTGTTGGGAATACATCTGGGCTACAGCTATCCAAATCTTATTAGCAGTATCTAAGAGAAGAAAGGACCGACTAATGGTGGGCTGCATGGAGTTAATGAGCCAGGTCATAACCAAAGCATTCTCAAAAACCCATTGAGTACGCCAAGCAGCATCATTAGCAAGCTGGGGAAGGTCACCGATAATGTAGCTAGTCAAACGGCGAGCAGCAATAGCAAGGCTACAATAACGGGACCAAATTAGATAATTGGAGCCATCAAGTTTCGCAGGACTGATTTGAAGAGAGAGACTATCATTAAGAGTCATAACACAATGCACACCACCCTCTTCACCAACCCAAGAGTCTTTATCCTCAATTCCAGCCATTGAAAATCAATCCCCACAATAAATAATAGTCCAGGAAGCCAACAACAGTGCCAAAAACTCAACAAAGGACTAGGAAGATACCTTTACAGAGCCAAAATAAGCTACGAAAGCAAAAAAGGAACAAAAACTGAGAGAAACCTTACCAATCCTGCAAAACAATGACTCTAGCCTCCTCTAATGGTCCAGTCGGCTCCCAAGGAAAGGGAAGGAAGAGAAGAAACAGCCCTAAAAGCGCTCCAACAATGGCTTCCGAAAAATAGTCATTTTTTCCAAAAAATCAACAAAAATTGGAAAGACCACCAAATAATTACCAAAAAATTAAAAGAAAATGATGGAGAAAAAGCCCATGAAATTTTGAACCAGGAGGATTTTTTTTTTTTTTTTTTTGCAGGAAAACGAAGAAAAAGAGAAAAACAAGAACAATGAAAGACCACAATTTTTAAGGAGGAAGATGTGGCTCTGATACCATGTCAGATATGCGTACGAAAAAGAGAAGAACAATCAGAAGAAGAGAAGAACCAAGAGACTGCTATGTTTATTGTGTTTATTATCTTACCCTTAAACGTATTAGGGTTACACATATTTATAATGAAAGACTAAGGAAACGAATGACATAACTACCCTTACACACTTATACTTAACACATCACAAGGTTTTGGTTAAATCTCTGTCAAATTAAATATAGCAAAGACGATAAATGAGTCCTTAAATTCCTATAAATTGAAATGATTAAATACATTAAAAATCTCATTAAATTAAAATTTTCAACCCAAGAGATAGTGGTGAAACTGTAGCTTACAACAAATAATTTGCAGAAGAAAATATTGGAAGCCTTCCCAAACCTGCGCCCTTCTATTTGCTTCTTTGAGAAGTAATGAGTTTGTCAGCATCTGAACCTGTTGCTGTCAGAACAAACTACGAAGTACAATTGTTGCCACCATCAATGCAGGCATAAAAACGTACATGCAAACTTTCTCTAAGCCTAGAAAGCTGTTGCAACTCAAGAAATGAAAACATAGATAATGATGCAAAAATAGCAAAGACGAGAGAGAGAGAGAGAGAGAGAGAGAGAGAGAGAATCCTTTAAAATACAATGCCTAAGTTTGAGCATGCTTGAGATCATGAAGAACTGCTAGAACATACAGCTATGAAATATGACAAACAATAAGATGTGGCCTGCCTAGTGGCAAGCATCATACATGTGGGAAAATACCCTATACAAAGTTTCACACAAAAAAGATGTTTCAAGAGAATACAGCGCAAATAGGAACGTAGAAAAGTCAACCTTCCAGTCTAAGCTAAGCATAATTTGCTTGCAAGAAGACTGAGGCCTCGTTTGGCAACTATATGTTTTAGCCAAAAAGCCAAAGTCACTATAAATTGTCACATCACTCTCTCTACTTTTTTGCACACCTGAATGTTGTGACAAGTTTGTGTTTTCATTGTCCCATCGTCGTGTTAGGAAATCTTAAGAGGAAAAACAATCATTCTAGCAGAGTACATTCATTTGGCAAAGTTAACTAATCTTCACCAATTGCCTTTGTTATGAATTACAATCAATCCTTCAAAAGTCCAACGGGTCAGTATGGTGGAGTTTCGTCATCTTGTTATTCAAAAAGCAAGCCAACTTCTAGTATAACATAACAACTTAAAAGCAATATTAAAAGTATAAGATCAATCCAAATAAGATGTGTATCTATGGCAAGATCAAGAACAAGAATAGGGGCAAAGTCAACCAATGACATTAAGACAGAATGTGAAATATATATATATATATATATATGGAGAGAGAGAGAGAGAGAGAGAGAGAGTTAACATACCAGAGGAAAGACTATAGCCATGACCCCGTAGCTCACAAGAGGAGAGAAAAGGAATATAGCCAAAACACAAGGGTTTCCTGAGAAGTTAAAGAAAATATAACTCTATTCAATGTACTACCACAACACCCTGAATAAATTGTGACTGTCAAATTCACACGAAAGAGTATGCACTTACTAATGAAACTTTCTGCATCACACACATTTAATAAAATTCAATATGGAATGAACACTCATAGCAAATGTCCACGTCACATATTCACTTCATAAAGAACAAAAGCATGATAAGGCAAATAGGTAACTTCGAGGGGCCAGTGGCCACTAAGAGTACTTTTTGTTTTTGTAATAACCTTACAAAATCACCAGGGAACATCATTTTCCAAAGCATACAAATGGCAGAGAAACATGATTCTAAACCTTTTTTCCCCTATCTCATGGGGTTGAACGGGGGAGGGGGTGAATAAGTCTAAAATTTTGACCATCAATTCCATGAAAATATATAAATCCAACATGTTTTTGAGAATCACCACTTAAATGCCCAGTGAATAGGAAAATTTACCAAAACCAGCAAAAAATATCCAGTTGGATTCAAAGAAGTCAAGCCTTTTGTCCAAACTCAATCCAGAGAAAATCCATTTGTACCTGAGATGTTATAAAATGTCAATTGGCAATTATATAGCTAAAAGCAGGTGAAAAAAAAAAAAAAAAAAAAAAACAGCATCAGCAAATTCATCACATACTCAAAGCAGTAGTATGCATATATCCAGGAAATAAGTACTCCCTCCGTCTCAAAATATTAGTCCTTTATTCTATTTTTCATTGTCCCAAAATGTTAGTCCTTTTTCAAAAGTCAATGATTAAAATAATATGAATTTTCTATTTTGCCCTCCTTTTAAATTCATTAACAATACAAAAAGTACAATTATGATAATTGATATTCCCAAAAAAATGTACTATCAAAGGGTAATTTTGAAAAACTAATATTTTTAAAGTATAATAATTGTACTATCAAAAAAAGTTGGATTCCCCAAAAGGAACTATTATTTTGGGACGGAGGAAGTAAGAAATTCAGAGCCTTCCCAAAATAGGGTATAAATCATGTAATATAAAGCTGCATATAATCTTCAACAAACTTTACTATCTTTAAAATTATAAATAAATCGCAATGAGTTTAAAATGAATGTTCTAAAACAGAAAAGCAGTAAAAAGATAAACTGATGGAAAAAAAAAAAAAAAATCCATAGATCAGTTTTACCTCCAAGAAGAAAAAGCTCAAAAGGAGGACTGAATAGACCTGTTCGTCTATTCCAATCACGACCCTGGGAAAAAATGTTTTACAGGAGTTGATACTCATAGATGTAATCAACACATAACTTCTGTTCTGAAAGACAATGCCTCAAAAAAGCAGTAGTGTCTCTATTCAGAAACCATCAAACACTTAGTTGGAAATTTACCCCCCAATATCAGTACACTTATCCATCTGAGTTGCATTTGAAGAGCTCAATAGCTCTGGTTGGATTGGCATTTCTGCGAAGGTAGGCCCATATTTTCCAATCACAAGAAAGCCATGTTTAGCAACGTCACTGTACCTGGATTAAGGTATAAAAAGATGCAGATATGAATAAAATAATGTAAAATTATCAAGTATTCCAACATTCTGCATAAATAAAGGAAATGTTTTCCATCACTACTGCATGATGTCAAATAGCATGCAATGGAATCAGAAGGCCTAAAATAGCTTTTACTCCTGAAATAGCTATCTAATGCTTCAACAGTTGTATTATTAGTTCTGCAACCCTCTCCTACAATTTTGCTGGAAATGTGTGTAGGACACTTTTCTTCACATTTGTCTTAAAGTGGCTAAACCACCAAGAAAGCAAAACCAGATCATATGTTTCTGAGAAAAGTAGTATCCTTGTCCTGATAAATGTAACTTGGCTAAAAAATATAAATAAAAAAACACTTGATTTATGTGGATGAATATAGTTGAGTAAAAATATATATATATCTATATAATATGGCAGAACGATTTTTGAAAATATGTATATTTTTGTCCTACCCGGCATCATCAATGGTTTAGATCATTTCATCTACAAAATTAATGTTGAGATTTGTTTGGCCCAAAATATGTTTCCTGCCTCTCTTTCCTCTCTTCTCTCTCACTACTCTCCTCTTTCATCATTCCCATTACTCTCTCTCTCTCTCTCTCTCTCTCTCTCTTTTCCTCTTCTCCCCTCATCCACCATCGCTCGATTTACGCCGCTTTTGTTCTGCTCTTGTGAAGACCTGCCTCCACAACAACAGAAGCCCCTTCATCTCCCCTACAAATGCAGTCCCCCTCTCTCTCTCTACATCTCACTCTCTTGTTTTTGTTTCAATCCCATACTCTTTCATTCCATTGGAGCCCAACCCACTTGGCAATGATGACGACAATGAGAGGATGATTATGGAAGTGGTGAGTGTGAAAGTGTTGGAGAGAGGATGATTATTGACGGACATGTCTGTATTTTTTTTTCCCAGATTCTTCTGTGTATTGATGTTGCTACATCTTTTGCAAAGTTTGCAACTATGTCCCAAAAGCTTTTGGATCAGGCAATGAAATCTAACTTTTATTGTGGAGATCGTATATTAGGGATTCAAACATATTCTCTGTATTTATCTCTTATTTGACTTTGACCTGATCACATAGTTTCGAAATATTGCGGATTCCAGTTATTTGTTCCTAATGGAATAAATAGTACACTCTACCTTTGTTTCATGAAATATTGCGGATTCCAGTTCTTATTTGTCTTTAGGATTTAGCAAGAAATTTTGTGTAGTACTTTCTTATGGTATGAGAAATAATGGTTGTTTGCATGAATCTAATGGCAGCTTGGGGGCCTCTATGGAGCTAATGCCAAGATTCAAGCCCCCATTGTGAAGCTTAATTAGAATTCTCTTTTCGTCCATGTGAAACCCTTCGATGTTATAAACATTTATATATTTTTCTTATTTAAAGTTAATTTCATAGACAGAGTTCATCATTGGTTTTGTTTTGTTTTGTTTTTGTTTTTGTTTTTTTCTTCTCTTTTTCTAAAACGCGTTAGTAATTCGTGGTTACTGCTTTTGTTCCTGCTACAAATGAGAATAGTTTTGATCGTGTTTTTCTTTTCATGAACAATTAATAGTGTTGCTGGAGTCAAGCTTTGAAGAATGAGCTATTCTCTTACTTTCTCTCTTTACCAAACCTCGAACCCCCTATTCCTCTGTTTTCTTTCTTTGAATTTATTTGGTCTAATGTTTAGTTTGGTAGGTTTGGTGTGATTTTGATTTTGCTATTGCCTCAAGTTAAATTAGATTGGGTCTTTGAATATTAGATCAGTCTTTGTATGTTGTTAAAATAGTATATTTGTTTTTAACTAAAATAGTGTCTTTGTGGCTATTAATAACCTATAATATATTTGGAGCTTTTTGAAATTTATAGAAGTAATCAAACACCATAGAGAAAGGCTGATCATCAGAGGACTTTTGAGAACTTAAAGAAAAGAAAGAGAAAAGGAAATGAACACACAGAGAGAGAGGAAGGTGGATATGTTTTTCGAATACCACTTAAATTGTAGAGACATTTTTTGAATATATTTGGTGTTTGGTTACTTCTATTGAATATTTAGGTTTTGATTTCTATTAAATATATTGTTACAATTAGATTTCTTTTTATGATTTATTTTTTTTGAAATCTATAGAAGTAACCAAACACCAATCATCAGAGGACTTCTGAGAACTTAAAAAAAAGAAAGAGAAAAGGAAATGAAGTGAGAGAGAGAAAGAGAGAGAGAGAGAGAGGGGAAGGTGGATATGTTTTTTGAATACCACTTAAATTGTAGAGACATACATACATATGTATGTATGTTTTTTGAATATATTTGGTGTTTGGTTACTACTATTGAATATTTAGGTTTTGATTTCTATTGAATATATTGTTACAATTAGATTTCTTTGTATGATTTATTTTTTTTGATATCTATAGAAGTAACCAAACACCATAGAGAAAGTCTGACCATTAGAGGACTTCTAAGAACTTAAAAAAAGAAAGAGAAAAGGAAATGAAGACAGAGAGAAGGGGGGGAGGCGGATATGTTTTTTGAATACCACTTAAATTGTAGAGGCATACATACATTTTTATGTATGTTTTTTGAATATATTTGGTTTTTGGTTACTTCTATTGAATATATTGTTACAATTAGATTTTTTTGTATGATTTATTTTTTAAAAAATCAAAGAGCTTGAAATATTTGATTTGGAAAAAATATTTGATTGCCATACATGGTTGTGAATTTTTTTAAAGGTTGTATGAAAATTCTCAATAATGTATAAATGACGGAAATTACTTGGTATATGCAAAATACATACATCTCAAAATTAGTTTGACCGTAATTTTGAATATGTTGGTGAGCTAAAAACAAAAAATCAAAAAAAAATGTATTGTCACATTTAATTAATCATTTCATGTGCCAAGTATTTCTATATCTTAACAAATATTCTTAAACACACATCAATAAAATTTATTTATATAAAAATTCATTCTATTCTATATAAAGTGAGTGGGGTAGATGGAGTGTCTTGAGAAGGGGACTTCCTAAAGAAATGGTGTATGGCCTGATGGCCTAATGGTTTTTTAAGTGTGAAATTGGTCATCCCTGTTTTTTATGGGTTTTATGGGACTTCTTAAAGTGAAGAGCACGCCCTAGATTTATGAATTTTTGTAATTAGTATAGGAAAGGTAAAAAGAAAGTAGGGAATTTATGTCAGAGTTTGGACAAGGATTTGGAGGCAAAAAGGGCATGTGAAATTGCTTTTTCAAAAATGTTTTTTTTTTTTTGGTCAATAAATTTGAACTCATAATTTAAATTGGATTCTATTAAAATAAAATGGTGATCAAAGTAGTTTATGTTTTACTATTAAAATGTAATTTTTTCACAAGGTAAGTGAGAGAGAGAGAGAGAAGAGAGATAATAGGAGTGATGTAATTTGTTTAAAGACTAGAAAAAAGAGTTTTTTTTTTTTTTTTAACAAAACTTTGTTATCCACCTCGGTGAGAAAGCCCACGAGACATATTCTTACAATAAATTACCTTTTCCGGTTTTTACTTTAATTTTATTGGGGTGCATTTATGTCCCGGTAATTTTACAGAACTCATTTGAAACTCGCAACCAATCGAATTTGTATTTATATTTTGACCTCAAATTTTTAGCAACAAATTTGATAAATTACATTTTAATTTAATAATTTTATATTCAATTATATTTTGATCTCATCATTAATTGCACCGTGCACAGACATACACTAGTGTATATATATATCACAACAGATTAGCTGGCAAAAAGGAAAATGTCAAGTACTAGCCAAGGTCATCATGCTCAAATAAATAAATATATACAACAATGGACCACATAGTAAAAACAGCAATACAGATGCAGAAACCATCCTTCTTTTCTTTGCTTTAGCATAGATCTAATAAAATGAAAAGGGTAACAAGGGTAAAGCAAAAGGAAAAGGCACTACCACAAACTGCTTAGAATAAAGCTGAATACATACAATGGGTAGAACCCAAATACCTGTAAGGATTAATCAAATGAAGTAATGAGTAACGGTCGAAGTGAACTTTTATAGCTAAATTTCCTATAGAGGAAGCAAGAACAGAAATTATACAAAAATGCTGACACAATACACAATAAGATAGAGCACTTTCAAATCATTTTAACAATTTCTGTTCAACTATCACATGTTTTTCTTCAAGTGATAAAAAAAACCTAGAAGAAAGTAATAAATGGTCATTTCTAGTGCACGAGGCTCCTCTTGGTTCTACGTCAATATGGTATTAGCCTTAAGTTTTATAGCAACTCTAGCCTTCCCAATATCTTTCATCAAATTGAAAAGGAAGAAATTCACAACTCTAAATGAATAACAAAATAGGATGTAAAACAGAAGGATCTACTAAAATTCCAATTTCCAACCACCAACATCCTCATGGTTTTGGCATCTAAAATTTCTGTTGTTGGTGAACCCCATCTCCTAAAATTTCATGCTGCATTCTTTCACATTAATTTCTTTATTTTCTTTTCCAATACCAATTTACCCACGTTTAGTGCTAACTTTTAGAACAATAGTTACCTAACACTCTAGAAGTGCCAACCAATTCCTTCTATGCTCTACAGTAAATCTACATAAATGTATATATATAGGAAAATGTGTATATATACACCACTACATATATATTTATAGAAACATAAACCAAGGTTTCTTTTAAATACACGGACTTGAGACAAAGATATTAGGGGTTAAAGTTATATAAGAGGCCTAGCTCTTGTTAATTGTTCATACTTAAGAGATCTAAAGGAGAAAATAGTGTAGTGGTAACGAGACGTATTATTGGGGATCTTTGTACAACTAGAATCCTCCTTAAGATGAATTTGGAATAACTACATATTCACCTAATTATTTGAATGCAATCATTGCTCTTAAATCAAATCTATCTATGCATCTTGTTGAAATCTATATCTAAGCTATTAAACGTAAATATTAGCCACAGTCCTTAAAATGATTATATTCAGATCCATTCATTTCAAATCCACATGTAACCTAAGGGAAACTACAAGAAAACAAATTTACAATAATAATATAGGCTAATAAGTATCCTCCAATATAAGGAGCTAGAAAGCACATTTCACCACATGCTTATGAATTTGCATGACTTCTTGTGCATGCTTATACTTTACCTAACTTGTAAGCTCTTCATAACACAACCAAAATTTTATCATATCAAATGCAATTTTCCCACTAAAGAGATTAGTTAAATTAAATGGCAGTTAGTTGAATTAGTATAGAGACATTTTCTCGCAACATAGTATAATATAAAAATTACGTAAGAGAGCACGAGGAAAAAAAATTATCAAGCGTATACTCACATAGAAGAGTTGTAGAAATCCAAGACGTAAGAATGAGTAAAGTTTTAAAATACCACCAGATGAGCACAAATTTTGAGAACCAGAATGTGGGCATTGATCAGGTAATATCCATTGTAGTGTAGGAATGACAACCGAGTTTACCATAAAGATACTGCAAGTGATAGAGATTTAAGTAATTTTAAGATATTAGGTTTGCAGTCCAAAATCCAACAAAAAAGAATCAATACATCAATTGACGATACGTAGCAAGAAATATTAACCCTTGGAAGATTAACCTCCAGAAAACTGGAAAAACTTAGAACTTGCACACAAAGCACATTCTAGCATGAATTGGAATGTGGGACTCTCAAGCAATGAATAGATACACACAAATACATATGCATATGATTATCATACAGTAAGCAAGAAACAAGGATGATGAGAGATATACCTTCCTAAGAAAATCAAGCCGTTTAAGAGAAAACACTGCCCAGTTCGTATCGCAAGCTGTTTAGAACTTCCGTAGAAAAATACAACACACATAAATGTCAAAAAAATTGAATGAAGGAATCAAAAATTGAGAGAGAGAGAGAGAGAACCTGAAACAGTAGATGAGGACCCTGTGGAGACAGCAAGCGTCTCTAAAACCATGGAGCCAGAGCAGCGATGCCTGCTTCAGTTTTGGTCCCAAAACCCCCCATTAATTGCCCCCTCTACTCTTTTTTTTTTTTTTTTTAATCTCTCTCTTTCTTTTTTTTCTTTTTTTTTTTTTGAAATCTCTCTCTTTCTGTTCTTTCTCTTTTCTTTTCATTTCTCTTATTTCTTCTTCTAGACTGTTAGCCAGCTGGAAGAAGAAGGAAAAAGAGAAGGGGAAGGAAAAAGAGAGAGGGAAGGAAAAAGGAAAAAAAAAAAAGGATTTTGATTTGAGTTTGGATTCAGAACAGAGGAAGAAGAGGAAAAAGAGGAACAAAGAGAGGGAAATGAAGAAGAAAAGAAAAAAAGAAAAAAAAAGTGTCAAAATGACGTCGTAATTTTTTATTTAAAAAATAAAATTCTTAAATATTTTTTTATATAATAATAAAATTAGAAAAATTAGTGAATTATTTTTCTCTAACTTTGTATAGTAGGAAATGTCCAAAATATTTTTTTTATTAGTTAAGGCCCCTCAATATTTTCACAACAAAAAAAAAAAAAAATTCACCTTAGATAAAGTTTGCTCGACTCAGAGAAATTTCACTTGACTCATAAAAATTTCTCTGTGAAATCAAAGAAATTTATCTATGAAACTTAAAATTTCTCTAAGACCAGTAAAATTTTTTTGAATTAAATTTTCTCTGTAAAAATGTTAAGGGATCTTAACTATAATAAAAATATTATGTATCTTTTATTTTGAGACCTAAAAAAAATTTCTCAATAAAATTAAGGAGCCGTTATTTTCAATTGACTTTGTTCTAAATACACTTCTTCATTGCTCCAAATACATTAATATCTTTAAAATTTTAGTTTTTTAAGGAAATGTATTTTGTGTGAAAAGTTATTAATGTAATTATACATAATTAAAGAGAAAGAATGAAATATATTTGAAATAAAGTGAAATAAAAATAGCAACTTCTTCAAATTATTTAAATTATTAATTAAAATATATTTTTAAATAATTAAAATTTATTAATTATTTATTAATAAAAAAAATTACCTGAAAATTAGCAATTTCAAGAGTTGGAATGTAAATTGTAGTTTTTCAAAATCACAATTCGTATTTTACCCAACAACCATAGGCCACAAGTTTCCCTCATTTTGAAGCAATTAATGACCTATTCCGCCGCCATTGCTTCACAGTAATCAACTTCTTTGAACAGTTCTAGAAAGAGAGAGAGAGATGACACAGCAGCAGAGCAAGAGGCCGTGCAAGAAGAAGGCTTGTGGCATTCAAGCTTGTCTCTCCAAGAACAACTTTGATCTTCAGAAGTATACTCTTTTTTCTTCATTTTTTTTTTTTTAAGAAAACATTTCGTTCTCTTGCTAAGAAATGGCAAGCAAAGAATACGAATTTTGAAATGTATTACAAAATTTCAAAGAGAACCCATCTCTTTCATCAAACTGAGGATTAGTGCTTAATCGTTCAAATTCTTCCTCTGTTTTCATTTTAGTTGATAGAATTCGATGGTTGTTAGGCGATTAGGGTTTATACTTTGTAATCGTTCAAATTCTCCCCCTCTCTCTCTCTCTTCTCTCTTAAAAGTAACAGCTTTGAATGTATCTTTTTCATTTTGTTCATATTTGAGAGTCAAAGAATTGGTCTGTTTCCATTGTGGGCAATTGGCCATTAAAATCAGTTTTTAAATTTTTTTTTGGAAAAAATAAAATTGATTATAAAGACAAAAAAAATTAAAATTTATTGTCGCCCTCAAAAAAAAAATTCCTATATAAAAATGATGAATATTTTGATTTATTATTATTTTTCCCTATTAGTATTTAGATTTTAGTTCACTTTTAAAAAATAAATTTTAAAAATCAAACCAAACAGAGTCAGCAAGAAGGTTATTTTGAAAAAAGGTTTGGAAAAGTTTTGAAAATATATTTCTGCCTCTTAATTTATGCATGATGTTTTGTTATCGCTTTTAAAAATTAATTCTGCATCCATTTTTGAAAACTCTACTGAAGACAAAAAAATTTAGGCTAACTGGTCGTTCCTTCAGACGTCCGGCCGATTGACTAGTACAATGTAATTTTTTTATTTTTTTTCAATTGACACCTGTTATTTTTTATATTTTAAAAAAAAAAATTCAGAATTTTTAAATTTTTTTATGAGTTATAAATAGAATTTTAAGTTGTGTTTGATTATGAATTATAAATTTTTGTATCAAATATCATATAACACAACAAAAAATTCCCACTCAGTTCAAAACCTTTTTCAAAACTCATTTACCAAACAAATTTTTCATACTCAAATCATAATTTCAAAAATCACAAACTCAAAATACAATTCATATTCTCAAATCATATTTAAAAACTCTATCAAACGCTGCCGTGTATTTTCTTATTACAGGGAGTGATGTGCCTCGATGCAATTCTCTATTCCCTCCCGCCACCTCTAGCATGTAGGATTGAAGTGGAAAACATATTGTGAATTTGTGAAGTATATCATTGCACTGAAACTCAGAGTCATTAGCAGCGTAAATATTTGAAATGAGCAATTTACAAATATTGCAGAGAGAGAGAGAGAGAGAGAGAGAGAGAGGATATGTATAATCTTTCAAGAAAAATAAGACCAGTAACCAAAATTTTTGCTCATTTAACCAGAGGGATTACATAGATTTTAGCCAACAATGTTCCAAAACATGCAAAACTGTCAACACAGGCAAACAACTAGTACCAAATGGCAAGTGTCAGATTGAAAAATTATACAGTTTTGTTTCAATGAAGCTGATGGTTGCAAATGGAACACAAGCCAAATATAATGTGGCAACAATGGTGCAATTACTGTAAGACAATTGTAAGGGACGATAATTTTGTAATTTCTTCTGCTAAGATAGCTTTACATAATTCTTTGTAAAATAATTATATAACTGACATGCTCAAAATTACATTTGCACTGGCCGTGCCTCATATTGAGGGGGAAGGGGTCTGGCATTTCAAGGCCCTGCGCCTCATTTTGATCCAAAACTAGAAATTTTAAAAAATAGTAAAGAAATTTAAAACCTCCCCCTATCTTCACCAACTAACTGTCCCAAAATGAACACGAGGGGATGGATCCAATGTTCATAAAATACAAGTTGACATTACTCAGATCCCTTCCCCAAAGAAGCATATACGAGTTTTTTGAGGGAATTGTAGGAATACCACTTTAAATTGATCTCGATGTTTCCTGCCGCCTGAGAGGAATGCCTTCCATTCCAAAACCATCCTCTTCATCTGTGTGCCTGTGGAGTCGTATTGATGGAGACATAGACAAACCTGCAAATATGATTTGACAACGTATTCATCATCCATAATTCAGAAAACCATTGATGGTTTAGAATTAAAAAAACAGGGCATCATCATCCACAAACACTCTCCATTTTGGTGATTGGAGGTGGTTGGGAATGAAAAAGAGAGTGAAACTTACTTTGATGTTTTCGTTTCCAAAAAATTTGGAAAGTTTGAAATCAATTTCACTTTTTTTAAAATGAAAACAATCCAAAGAAGTTTCGTTTTCAGTTTTCAAAAAAAATGAAAACGAAAACATAAAACAAAGGTGTTACCAAACAAGGCCTTAAATTCTCCATTTTTGAAATATAATTGGAAAATACCCATTCCCAGTTTCTCAAGCACCTTGATCTATGGGACACTCACTAATTTATTTATACATACAACAAAAGACAAACAAACCTACCATCAACCATGTCCTTTGTTTTGTGAAGAAGAAAGGTCCCCGATAGGATCGTCACAAACCCACACATTTCTGTTACAATTTGAGTTGGACTCTGCCTATCCCAATCCTGAATTCACAAAATCAAATTTGATATTTTAAGCAACACTTCAAATTTTATTTATGAAGGTGCCCAACATTTATGATAACCCAAAATGAAATGGAAAATACAAGAAGTTGCCGAGACAAGAAGCAAAAATTACATCTAAAAGAGATTCATTCAAGTTTTCTTTTCTTATTTTCTTTTAGTATGTTAGGGTGTCCTTGACCCATTTTATGTGTATGCTTTATGTTAAAATTCACCTACTACACACCTACCACTACCACCTACTACAAAGAAAGGTCCCCGATAGGATCGTCACAAACCCACACATTTCTGTTACAATTTGAGTTGGACTCTGCCTATCCCAATCCTGAATTCACAAAATCAAATTTGATATTTTAAGCAACACTTCAAATTTTATTTACGAAGGTGCCCAACATTTATGATAACCCAAAATGAAATGGAAAATACAAGAAGTTGCCGAGACAAGAGGCAAAAATTACATCTAAAAGAGATTCATTCAAGTTTTCTTTTCTTATTTTCTTTTAGTATGTTAGGGTGTCCTTGACCCATTTTATGTGTATGCTTTATTCCATGTGATTTACAAATTTGTTTACATAACTAAGTTCATTGTCAGAGAAATTGAATTGCCATCCCTATTTTCAGATATTTTACAGAAGCTCATTTACTTGTGGTAAACCTTAACAAAGCATTGAGATTGTCCTGCTTGCATGTATATCACCACTACAAATACACTTCTTTTTTTTTCTCCCTAATCTAATCGTCCATTTCTAAAATCGCATAGAACTATGCCCCAGCACCTTCGAGGACCCCCATCGAATGGCACCAGCCATAAGGGCTGCTGACCTCCGGGAAAAACTAAACCTAGAGTAGTTTTTATGGTGACATTACCCTATATTTTATTTTTTACTTTTTTTTATTTTGTTAAAAAATTGGTCCCCAGTTGAGCAGAAGGGATGGGAACAAAAGTTCAAATAATTTTCTTCTATGATGAATTCTTCACAAACTTTTTGTCTAGGATGTCTTCCTCAATGAAATTATATGGGTTCATAAATCCTATTTTTTTGTTTTAAACATTTATTGAAGTCAACCATATTAATCTTTTTAAACCACTTCTGTGCAAGACTTGATTCATTTGCAGATATTTTAATCAGAGACCAACAGGGCAATTCATATCAAATGATCATTCAAGAATAGATCAAAGCATCAATTTGTCATGAACATAGATCATCTCCTGACAATAACCAATATCAGGTAAGGCTCCCTTGAATTAATAACTAGACAGAGAAGCAAGGAGGGAATCTGCAGAAAAGTATATCAATTTCGAACATTTTAAATAGATGCCACCAAAAAAAAAAGAAAAAAAAAAAAGAAAGTAGGTAACTAATTCTGATTGTATATATTCTGAAGTCAGCATGCATATTTTTTTAACTTTCTTTCATCAGTGAAAGAATTACCTTAAACATGATGACACTCGCTAAAATGGTGAAAGACGTAAACATGACATAGTAGATGGGGGATACAACAGCTGTGCTGAATGTGTCGAGGGCCTGAACTCAAAGTAAAGCAATAAATGAAACACAATTAGCAAAGGGGTAACTTGACAGCCAAACATGAACCAATAAAAAAAATAAAATAAAAAAGCAAGGAAAAAAAACCTCTATCCATGAAGGGGGAAAAAATTAGAAGGCATATACAAAAAGAGATCAGAAGTTTGAAAGATGCCAAAGGAGAAGAAATGCATCACATCCTCACAAATATCATTACAATGGAGTTTCCACTCAAAATTTCAAAATTTTGCAATTTCACCTTTCTGAGATAATTGCATGAATAACTAAAGAGTAAACCCAGCAAAACCCATGAATAAGCAAATATACAACAATGAAAGGAAGTATCAAAAATAATTTCAGACATGAGCATGAGATCAGATAACATTGATTATTGAAAATCAGTTGGTTCACTAGCTGACAAATAAATTTCATAGGACAAAAGAATTAGAGAAAGATTATTTTCCTGCAATAAGGGAACCCAATTATTGGATTGACATCAAACAAGACGAATCAAGATTAGTTTCTGTGAGAGCATGTCATTTCCAAAGAAGCTTATGAAGAATTGAACCCACTAAAGTCCACCCATATTTGATTGTTCAGTGTCACTGCAGTTCAAGAAATGAACCAGGAAACTTTAATTGACCTGTCCCACAGACTAAGGCCTCGTTTGGGAACAGGCTTTTTTAGTAACTTTTTGGTTAAAATATGATGTAAAAAAAACTAGTATGTTTGGGATGACTTTTTAGCTTTTTACGAAAAGATATGCAAAAAGTAGCGAGAAAAAGGAATCTTTGACTTTTTGGTATAGGTTGTTGGCTTTTTGACTTTTTTAGTAACTTTTTGACTTTTTGGCTAAAAAAGATAGTTGCCAAATGAGGCCTAAAAAAAAAGTCAGTTATAGAATCTTAGACAAGTGGTTAATTAGCAGAGAAGGGATTGCAAAATATTAGTTTAAAATTTATGTTAAAATCCACCTACTCTGGTATAGGTTGTTGGCTTTTTGACTTTTTTAGTAATTTTTTGACTTTTTGGCTAAAAAAGATAGTTGCCAAATGAGGCCTAAAAAAAAAGTCAGTTATAGAATCTTAGACAAGTGGTTAATTAGCAGAGAAGGGATTGCAAAATATTAGTTTAAAATTTATCTTGAAATACAAAATTTTGCTAATACCAATATTACATTAAATCAGAAGGCAAGGATAAACAGCAATTAGGCAGATAAAAACTGAAAAGGTCACAAAATTGAAAACATAACGAAAAGAAAGAAGGATTACCTTGTTTAAATAATTCATTTGGGTAATTACACATGTAAGGACTACAAGAGTGAAGGCCCACGTTTGGGGATATATTAATTGGTTCATTCCTGATAATGTTAGCTTCAAGGCAATTCCAAGTGCTTTGACACTCATGACCTGTCACAGAATCTCTCTTAGAATAAACTAATATATAGGGTACTAAAACAGGAAAAAGAGAATGAAGAAATCTCCAGCTAAGAAATGCAATACATACTGACAAAGAACCAACTAGTGAACAAACTCCAATATAGACCATTATATGAGTCTGGCCATATTGTGGGATATAGTGAAATATAATTATGAAGACAGCAGTTAGCACCATAGCTGCGTATAAGAGAAAACCTGCCAACAAGAAAAATGGTATTTGAATCCTTTGTTATGTTTTTATTTCATGAAAAACAATTGAAACAGGTCAAGAGCAAGGCGAAAAGTTATAGATTAGTAAAAAACACAGTAATAGGAGCAAAAAATTACCTGGCTCGGTAGCAAGATCCCACACTTCTGTCACAGATTCAATTGCACGTTCTTGAGGAGCATGTAGAACAATTGTGGTAGACCCCACAACACAGAGAGCACAACCAAGAATCCCAAAAATATGTAACTTCTCACCTAAAATGACATGTGCAAGTGCAGCACTGCAATAAAACACAGTCGTTAGTGGTCAAACCAAAGAATGAAGGTTTAAAATGTCGGTAACTTTCTGTCATGCCTGATAATAATGCTGAGTGCACCAAGAGGAGTAACCAGAATAGCTGGTGCAAATGCATAAGCCGCAAAATTAGCAATTTCTCCTACAATCACTGTTGCAAAAATGATCATCCATCAGAACACACACGTTCAGTAACTATTGTAGAATACAAGCCATTCATGTGGCAGACTAATTAGAAAACTAAAGCACTCTTCATGAAAGTCTCACATCTTCAAAACTCTTTGGTGCAGCAAAAAAGTTTGCACCGTTTCTTTTTCCGTACAATCAAGTGGAAGAAATGAAAAGGAGAAACATATTAAATAGCATTTCACTTCCTCTTTGGAGTTCTATACAGTGTACTAAACCTCACAATAGAAAGTCTAATATCCAATGGTAGACCAACCGCAATTAGATTTATGAAACAATGAATTAAAAGATAAAAGCATTTGAAGTGTAATATTTAGTAGCAGAACAGGCTTTGTATTTACCTACCTAGTTGTGTTTACCTGCTATCATAACCAAATGTTATGATGGCAGGTAGCTGTAACAGATTAATGACAGTGTTGGCAGAAGTTGAATGGCTAATAGTGTGATGGTTGTGCAATGTCAATAGTATAGCATCAAAGCATGGAGTGGCAGGGAAGCAAAATGGAGCAAGGGCAGTTATGGCGCTTTCATAATATTCTTTGGCAAATACTAACAAGTGCCCCCTAAGCATTGTTTAATATTGGGAAGTGTGTATAAAGTGTCTTGAAAATATGTAAAAATGTTAAAAAGGTGTATTGATTTCAATAAAAGTGCATTGAATTTGGTAAAAAGTTTCTTGTGTTCTTCAACTTTTTTGTCTTTTACTTGTGCCCGGGTATTGATTAAAAATAACTATATCAATCAAAAAGATAACAAAAGAGAGAATAAGGTATCCTTCAAAATGAAATGTTGAAAGAAACAACCAAAAAGAAAATTGAAGCACGAAAAAACCAGAGTAAAGTACCCTGTAAATTGGTCTAAAGCATTGCACTGAACACCCATTTCAATATAGCGATTTTACCTACTTCGCTGATAAATGATCCTACTTTACAATGTAAAGTTTCCTGAAAATTGGTCTAAAGCATCACACTTAATTAGCCGATTCGACAAGGGGATTTGGCCTCCTTGACTGACATACAATCCATCCCCATAGAAATTAAGAGATTCATACTTCCTATTAGAAATGCTCACACTAGTAAGGACCCAAAACCAGTTCACACCCACTAACTCATGATTGATGAGTCTGCTATAATCAAAATCTGTGTCATTTGCATATTACCTAGAAATAGTGATCTAAAACGGGAATTAGTGTGTTTAAATTAATTACATACATAATAGTAAACAATCCCCATTTCGAGCAGAGGTATCATTGGCAACATATATAGAATGGCAGGCACCAGGGGCGTGGGACAGAACAATCTGCTGGAGTTGGTGTTAATCATGGGGTGAGGCAGTGGTATTGCTTTGAAACTTGAGTTTACTAACCTCACTAGTTCATAATCAAAGGGAAATTTTGACATTGAAAATTTATAATCGCAAAGAACTCTTAAATCCAGCAATTGTAAATAAAGATATTATATAGAGAAGGGGAATCACTGGAAAATAATAATGGTTGAGCTGACTAAAGACGCCGCTTCCTAAGAGCGATCACTGCAAATCTGAATCATTTACATTGAATGGGAATTGTTAAAAATTTAATAAAGGTTGAGCTGACCACAGGCTCTGCTTCCCATGATTGTAATGTCATTAAATTTATTACTGCAAATTTTAAACAAGTTATAATAAGTGGAATTGTTGACATTACTAGAATCAACTTCCGCTGTCAAAATCAAAGGGAACGCCAACCATGTAGAAGGAGAAGAAGTAAAAAGAACAAAAAAACAAAACTTATAAGCTCCCAACAAAACAAAAATCTTACAAAAGTACTTTTTAGGTTATACAAAGGAATCTCCCTATAATTTATCCAATAGTGTAGATGTTTCAATTCCCTTACCCCTTATTATGTTGCCCCCACTCCTGTGAACAGCTCTCAGCCACCCACTACATCTCTATCAAGCTTCTATAGCTTTAAACGAGTGCATCATATCATCTTCGAATTCGAAACAATATACACCCACAATACTTGTCAAACCCGCGTTTCTTTTTCAAAACCCACTTTGACACCTTTTCCTACAATGTACCTTCCCTAACAAACCCAAGCTTTTCCACTCTTCAAGTTGGCAATTAATGGCTCATAAACTAAATACAATCAATCTAAATGTGTAAGAATGTGTCCACTTACATGTAGAAATGACATTAAACACATACCCATGCTCAATACTAATACCTAAATCCATCTAAATAAATATTTTGTGACCCTAAATCTTGTTAGCAATCTAATTAGCAATAACCCACTAAATTTGCTCTGAATTTCTTTGGAAAAAAAAAATTATTTGAAGAAATCATTTTTTGATAAATAAATAATTTATTGAAAGAGCATCAACATGATGCAACATGCAACAAATACAAAACATCATAAAAAGTAACTCCTAACCAAGAATGTCATCTAAGAAATCTAAAAAAACAAACAAACAAATCCGGATCAAACTTCCATTCCATCCAACCATACAAAACTATAAGAAGGCGACTCTCAAGCCAAGAAACAATATGGTGAAGCTCTTGAAAAGTTCGTCTATTACACTCCAACCAAACAAACCACATCAAACAAAGGGACACCAAAGACCACACACGCCGCCGACGCCGACCCACCCGAGCTCCACTCCAACTCCACAACATATCCATCACCCTCCTCGACTGAACCCAAACAATCCCAAAAAGGGAGCAAATAACTTCTCACAACCGACTAGTCACAGGGCAATGCAAGAACAAATGATCCACGGACTCCGCATCTGCACAACACATACAGCATGGATTGTAAAGAATCCAACTTTACATGTTGTATTTTTTACTTGGTTAAGCCAAATTTAACCAAGGTGGTAGTTCTAACTTTCTCAAATACTTCAACATTCTTAAATAATCAACTTATCAAGTTGACAGTTAGACATAGATGACGCTATATTGTCATTTAACTTTCATCAGCATGTCTCTTCTTTACAACTGGATTTGTTATACTTTAAGATGGCTTCACTAAAGATAATTAAATCTAAATTCTTTAACATAAATAAATAAAAAAACACCAAGGAAATTGATCTTAAATCATCCTATGAAGACATGGGTGACGCGACTTGTACTCAATGGGTTTTGCTAAACCCCCTAAATTTTATTAAACACATGAGATTTTTGACAACGCTAAGCCAATGAGGGATCACTGAACCCTCATTTTTTTCTCTTTAACCCTCTGATCTTTTTCCCTTGAACCCTTCTTGAATGTATTACAATTGGTTTTCATTTTAAATAATTTTGTGTAAAATCTAGTGTGAACCTACCCCTCTTTGTTAGTTTAGCATGACGTACTTGAAGCTTGGGTAACCAGCTTGGGGTATGATAGAATATCACCCCCTATTTATAAATGAAGATTAGGGTTTACACGAGCAATTACAAGATGATCCCTGAGGGCATAAAATGATTACAGACCCTAGTGTAACTTTCGGCTAATATAATATGCTAACACTTTCGGCTAATATAATATGCTAACACTCCCCCTCAAGCTGGTGTGAAGATATCTCTCATGCCCAGCTTGCCAAATATGTCATGAAATGGTTTATTCCCAATCCCCTTGGTGAGAATGTCAGCAAGTTGTTCACCAGACTGGACAAAAAGAGTAGAAATGGTACCACTAGTGAGTTTCTCCTTAATGAAGTGGCGATCAATCTCAACATGTTTTGTCCTGTCATGTTAAACTGGATTGTGAGCGATGTTGATGGCGGCCTTATTATCACAGTATAACCGCATGCAGTTCGTCTGATCAATACCTAGATCACTCAACAATAATTTGATCCATAAAAGTTCACACACACCTTGTGCCATAGCTCTAAACTCAGCTTCTGCACTTGACCTAACAACCACATTCTGTTTCTTACTCCTCCAAGTAAGACCGGGGCGCATCGCCAGCCCCCATCCGCTTCCCTCCCGACAATTTCAAGCACTCTTTGACTCTCTTTTCAAAGTCCTTTTCATCTTTCCCTCGCGGTACTTGTTTGCTATCGGTCTCTCGCCCGTATTTAGCCTTGGACAGAATTTACCGCCCGATTAGGGCTGCATCCCCAAACAACCCGACTCGCGGACAGCGCCTCATGGTGCGACAGGGTCCGGGCACGACGGGGCTCTCACCCTCTCCGGCGCCCCTTTCCAGGGGACTTGGCCCCGGTCCGCCGCTGAGGACGAAAAGGAAAATTTTCAGTGCTCACAACTTTAATTTTATTGATTTCAACACAAGTACATTCTCCAACTCTTTGATTAAATCAAAGGTGCTTTTACATCATAAAAATTTGAAAAGAAAGATCAAAGCAGTAAAACTAGGGGCACAGCTAAGTCAGGTAGCTCTATGTCTTCTGTTTGCCCTCGTGAAGGATTCCACAGCTAAAGATGGCCCAACCTTTGTCTCCTCCTCGAGCCAAGCAAAACACTCGCTAGAGAGGGTGTAACTGAAGCTAACGGCAGGGGTTAGAAGCTTCCTCGTCCTCCAAGCAACAAGATACCGGGGCAAGTGCAAGGCATGAACCGAAAATGAAGCCGTATATTCCACCCCTTCGTCTGGACGAGTCTAATCATGTCCGAACTGGAGTCTGAGTTGGATGGGAAAATAGAACACGTAGTGTGTGAGGCCAATTAACTCTACACTCGATTGTTGGGACATGTTGTAACTCATGTCAGTCAAATCAAGCCAGGGGCAACGCCAAGCTGTGTCCGTTGCGGATCGGCTGTACATCTAGTCACACCATAACCCCTCCGAAGGGAAATCCACTAACCGTTGACGAAAGAAGTAAGCTTGGGCAGAATGCTCAGGGCGAAGGTCCACTAGTTTCAGCTTGTCCATCAACCATACCTGGGAAGGGATGAAAACTAGAGAGATTAAAGAATAGAGAGTTGTACAATGAGGGAAAAAGTAAGGAAGAGGTTTGGAGAGAAAAATAGAGAATGAGTACCGAGTGACGTGAGAATCATAAATAATAGAGGTGGGAAATAATACCTAGAAGAGCAGCGGACTCCCTGCCAACCGAGTAGTCTCTCGCTGATGAAAAGCATCTAGGCCCATCAAGGTTTCGGCCAATGCTAAACCCATGCAACTCTTGCTCTCTTTCAGACATTAAGCCACTTCGATCAACCGGATGCTAGCTCCAACGAAACTAGGGGCAAAAAGGAATTGCGCAAGTAAGCACAAGCAGAGGGCATGTTGGTGGTAGCCTCGCCAGAGAAGGTCGCTCCTCGTCATGTGCCAAGGACTGAGCCTCGTGTAATGAAAGCCCACACATTCGTCCAAGTGCCCAAGCATGGCCAAAAAAGGGTTGCGGCATGATCTCTTCGTCGTGGCGGGACTCCATTAAAGCTCGAAATTCCTCGATTGTCGGGCACATTTCTTGTGACCCGAAGCAAAATACATGTGTAATCGGGTTTCAGCATGGGACTGCGGCGTGGAGGAACGAAAACAAAGCACTGTGCGGCTCAAAGGAAAAAGTGCATTTATGCCGAAATTGTGAAAATTCATCTTTTCCGAGCCGTCTAAAGTGGTTATCCAGTTTCGGAGCCTATCGTTGAGAAGAATCTCTATCTTGAGAGAAAAATTCCAAAGACTTGTTGTTCGGCCAAGAAAACAGCTTGGGAGCACCTTTATGGACTTTGAGAAAGAGTAGTGCATGACAGCTGGATCCCACTGACCGACATCACTTTTGGGCCCTGTCATGCCTCATTGGAGCCTGGCCATGCCCATTTGGATCCAATCGGGTCTAAATGTTGGGCCAGATCAACATAGTTGCAGAGAAGGCTGGTTTTTGCCTTGGTGTGCTACAACTGTAGTTTGATGATTTGCGAAACTAGAAGGAAATAAATGCTTAAGTAAATGAAATGAGGGATGCCCAAGACGCCGATGCCACAGCCATAAATCAGCGGGGGTAGTAGAAGATGTGGTGGAAGAATAAGCAAGTTTGTCCGGTTGATCTAGGAAGTAGAGACCATTTTCTGCACTACCACTGCCAATCGTCCTCCCCGTGACAAGGTCCTGAAAAAGACAATGATCATGAAAAAACGTCACACTACAATTCAAATCTTGGGTAAGACGACTTAAGGATAACAGATTAACAGAAAACTTGGGAACATGGAGAACAGAAGATAGATGTATGGTAGGAGTGACTTGGACTAAACCTTTTCCAGAAATGGAAGAAACAGTACCATCGACAATCCTAACTTTATCCTGACCTGAAGAGGGCTTATAGATAGAGAAAAGATCAGAGGAGCCAGACATATGATCTGAGGTACCAGAATCAATAATCCAAGGCAAAGATGTATGACACAGGAAAGCACAAGGAGAAGATGCTAAGTTACCTGAGCGGGCAAAGGACGAGGAAGCGGTACTGAGAGCAGTAGAAGATCGGCGGTCCAACAATTGGCGCAAAACATCCTCCAACTCAGTATCAGAAGCTTGGGTAACAGAAGTAGAATTAGAATCAAGAGTATCAACGGCACTAGACTGATGAGCCCGGGAATAGGAACCACGTCCTCTAGATTAGCCTGACCGACCTCCTCGAGAACCAGACCGATCACCTCGACCCCCGGATGGAGTCCCATGAAACTTCCAACATGTCTCACGAGTATGCCGCGGCTTCTTGCAAGGCTTATAGACAGAGAAAAGATCAGAGGAGCCAGACATATGATCTGAGGTACCAGAATCAATAATCCAAGGCAAAGATGTATGATACAGGAAAGCACAAGGAGAAGATGCTAAGTTACCTGAGCGGGCAAAGGACGAGGAAGCGGTACTGAGAGCAGTAGAAGATCGGCGGTCCAACAATTGGCGCAAAACATCCTCCAACTCAGTATCAGAAGCTTGGGTAACAGAAGTAGAATTAGAATCAAGAGTATCAACGGCACTAGACTGATGAGCCCGGGAATAGGAACCACGTCCTCTAGATTAGCCTGACCGACCTCCTCGAGAACCAGACCGATCACCTCGACCCCCGGATGGAGTCCCATGAAACTTCCAACACGTCTCACGAGTATGCCGCGGCTGCTTGCAATAATCACAGAATACAAACTCCTTAGCAACAAACGGAGGAGGCAGGCTGAGGCCATCTCGAGGAGTAGACAGTAATGCAGAACGGTCAATAGAGACAAGGGACATCATCGCAGACCGACGACTCTCCTCATTTTGTACATAGGCAAATGCCTCCTGAAGTGAAGGAAGAGTGTCCATACTCAGAACTCGACCCCTAACTGGATCATACTCCACATTTAAGCCGGCCAAAAATTTAAAGACCCGTTCCCGTGCGATGAACTTTTTGTACCCGATAGAATCAGTAGGGCAAACGGGCTTATAGTCTTCCAAGTAGTCAAGGCGTTTCCAGCCGTTGGTGAGGAAAGTGAAGTACTGAAGAACAGTCTGCTCCCCCTGAAGTGTGCTCTCAATAGAGCGACGCAACTCAAATGCCTGTGAAAAATTCCCTTTGCGGAAATAGGTAACAGCCACAGCCTCCCAAATGTCCTGGGCAGTCTCCATAGACAAGTAGCCCTCACCAAGTTCTGGAACCATCGAATGGATAAGCCAACTCATAATCAAAGAGTTGGTAATCTCCCATTGATCATAACCTGAGGTGGTAACATTTATACCCCTTTTGAGTAGGAGAGTAACCAAGGAAAACACACTTGAGGGAGCGAGGGTCCAACTTACCACGAGAGGGAGAGTGATTATGGACAAAACAGACACAACCAAATATTTTGGGAGGAATAGAAAACAAGGACTGAGAACCGAGGAGGACGTGAAGCGGAGCCTGTTTGTCCAAAACCTGGGTAGGGAGACGATTAATAAGATAGGCAGCGGTGAGAACGGCGTCAAAATTTGTGCAATTTTTTTTTTTAAAAAAATTAATTGAATACAAAAATATATAAAAATTTAATACATTTTAATATTTTGTTGTATTCAATGATTTTTAAAATTTTATTTGTACAAATTATATATTATACATGTATTTATATATAAATATATATATATCAGGCTATTTTTATATATATATCAGTATATATATATATATTTATATATACACTAGGTCTGAGATCATACCACAGTGAGGACGACGAGGGACGACGAGTGACGAAGCTGAGGACGACGAGTGACGAAGACGACAGAGGAGCTGAGGACGACGAGGGCGATGAAGACGAGCGACGAACGGCTGGAGGAGATCGACGAGCTGAGGAGCTGAGACGAAGACGAAGACGAAGCAGATGATCCAATCGGCTGATGAAGACGAAGCGGAGTGACGACGGTGACTGAAGATCGACCCAGCAGATGATCCAACTAAGTACGTTTTGAACCCTAACCCTAGAGGTGTAGCTTTGATACCATGAAGCTTGGGTAACCAGCTTGGGGTATGATAGAATATCACCCCCTATTTATAAATGAAGATTAGGGTTTAGAAGAAAGACAATTACAAGATGATCCCTGAGGGCATAAAATGATTACAGACCCTAGTGTAACTTTCAGCTAATATAATATGCTAACAGTACTAATGTTGGAAACGTCTCATATGGTTTGGGTGTCCGCAAGTTTGAAGTTCCTTTAGTTGTAGTAACATTATGCTTATTATGTTTTTCAACATATATTGTTCACCATTTGATATGACACACTTACAACCAGTAGCACAATTGTAGAAATGCCATAACCATTATGAATATGCCGCATCAAATGTAAACAAAACTATGGTAGTAAATTTGGCTTACAAGTGAAATTTTTACAAATGTCAAATTGTCACATAAGCCTTCAAATGAATTTGACATCTCTAAATTTGAAAGTTTGGTTGAAAATGCTCTAATAAGTCTTAAGATACCTTAAAACACACCCTGTTGAGGTGTAAAATTCTTATTGGGTTTTATGTCATGTTGTAGGTCCCCAACATGGTGTGAAATCCAATAAAAATTGAGTAAGTCTACATACACAAAATTAAACTACAAAAAAAGTATCAAGAGTGTACACATCAACACAATGGGGCACACCCGGTACCCTCATTTGTAAATACCTTCCATTATTTTTGTCAAAAATGGGCTGAACCTTATCATACTGACGTATACATTCTTATTACTTTTTTTAAGCTTAATTTTATGTATGTAAATTACACATTAAAATTCCACATAGAATGTGTTTCTTCAGCCATTTAAAGTGGAGTAATGCTATACAAACTAACCAATCATACAAACATTTTTTACTTACTGATATGGCATTGAGTCTTGTTTCTGTTTCTAAAGTTTCATCATTGCATGACACATCAGTTAATAAAAAAAAGTTAGCAAAACTTTGTTAGTTTGTATATCATTTTTCTTTAAAGTGTGTTAACAACATTGACCTTGGACCCACTGGAAATTTCTTTTGACGTCGCCATTGTATGAAGATATTATGGGATCTTCTAAACGAAGCCTCGTCGCTCCCACTTCACTAATTTTCTACGTTTCCATATTTTCCTTCTAACATCTTTTCAACCATCTTTTCATGAGGTAAATAGACCCATTATTCCAAAGCCCATTATTAGATGCATCATGCATGGTTCATTTGCAATCAAATCATCTCAATCAATCATTGGTGATAATCAACAAGGCAACATTATCTTTCTATTCCGCAATGTACTAAGAAAATAAACTCGCAAATAGATTAGTTTCTATTAAAAAAATATGACTAAATAGTTATTTATCCAAAAAAAAATGACTAAATAGCTAAAAAAATAAGTATATGAAGTTGCATTGTTATGTCTCATTAGATGCCCAAACTATGTGCTAATGACCAATTCATACATGCACATGAAGACATACTTATTTCAAAAGACAACAAAGAAACCAATCACGAACACCATTTTACAGCATCATTATGAAGAAAATAATAGAAATTGAACTCTCATCGAAATCCTCCATTGATCAATAGATCATTAAACAAACAAGAATTACACAAAACTCACTTGATATCATGCCCACCCACCACAGTGGCTCATACAAGTACGAGTAACCTCCAACACCTGTCAAAATAGTCAATGGAAGTTTTCAATGAGAAAGTTAGACACCTAGTAACTTGGAAAATATTTGAATTAAATCAAACAGAAGGGTGTGATAAACAACCATGGTGGATGTATACCACGAAATACATCATGCATCAAGTGCTATAGAAAAGAAACTCAACAATTATGCGTACACAACATGTCCCTTCATGGTTTACTTTGAAAAAGTCAGCATGTGAGTGCAACTAGAATCTGCATTTACATGATATAAATGCACCTCTGTTCAACTGAAAAACACAATTAAACTCAAATTATTTTTCATTACATTTTTATTTAACAATAATACTAATAATAATGAATTAAGATGACACATAAGTGGAGGTGGGGGCAATAGAAGCTACATGATATCCCTAGCAAATGCAACTAATATACAAACCATTTCTACATAAACAAACAGAGCAGCTCACAACCTTAAACCATTAAAACTTGAGAGTTTGGAGATCCAAATCCTCAACAAATGTTCCAGTACCCCCACCCCAGCAAAACAGAGAAGCCAAATAGAGGGAGCATTCTAAAGCAAATACAACCATTAATATATATATAATTTCCTATAAATAAATATTGAAAGATAATGAGATGGTTGCACCAAAATTTTCAAAAAGCAAATAAGTTGGGCTGGTCATTGGTTGTGCAAAATTTTCAGAAAGTCTGGTCAGCTCTTCTTTCGGAATTACTCAATCACAACATACTTAAGCATCACCCATACATATGCAAATTCCCCAATATTGCAACCTTGCTGCAAAACTCAATTATGTTCTCATATGCACTTTATCTGTACCTAAAATAAATGCAAAAAAGTAGCAAAAACAACACTATAGCTTAGTGATCAAATTAAACACACCACTAATAATAACCTAAAAGTTTAACAATTTACATGGTCACCAGGAATTCACAGACAAAATAAACCATCTGAAGCTGCAAGATTACTTCATTGCACTACCCAACAAAACCAAAATAAAAAATAAAAATAAAAAAAGGAAAAAATTGTGAATTTGAACAAGGAAGAAGATTATCCCTAACAAATTGAAGTGAAACAGGGTTTACACAGGGTTTACCTGCCCTAACTCCGGATGCAGCGGCCTTCATCAAGCCCTTTTTCTTAACAATGAAGCTTGCCCCAATGAAAAAACTCGAAGACAATGCCAAGACCAAGCCGTTGATGTTGTCAGAGGACATGCCCTTGTAGGAGTCCCTCCAACTGTGAGAAGCCTCCACCGCCATATTCTTCACAAAAAAAAAAAAAAAGTTAAAAAACCCTACCCTAGTTGTCACAGGACATTTCACTGTGCCGCTGTGACAACTCCAAAGTTGGTTTAACTGGGAAATTGAGATTACGGGTGGATGGATCTTTATGTATATGTATGCATGTATGTAGAGAGAGAGAGATCTGTAGGGTTGGTAGCGTGAACAGCTGGGAGTGAGGATTTTCGTTGGCTTGGATCGGAGGAGAGAGAGAGGGAGAGTTGAGGGCTTAACATGAGGAGGAACAACGACGGATGTCTTTAGATAAGCCACCGAATTTGTTTAATCTAAACTTATTTAAATATGTCTTTTTTTCAAAAAGAAACTTCCTTGTGCATCCGGAAGTTTCTTTTGAGAAAAACAAAAATGCCACGAACTGTTAATTTAACATCACTAAATAAATTATTAATAACGTAGTGAGACGTAGATCTCACACTAATGTAATTATTTGGTTTTTATTTTTATTTTTTCTTATATTGTCATGTAATTAGTGTTGTTTTTAGTAAGGATGTATTAGTGGTCTGAATCGAAACTCTAAGAAAAATAAATTCGGACTAATCGGATGAATATTTATTATCTGAATTCTTTTAAATAATAAGGTTTTGTTTAACAATTTAAAGTTTTAGTCAAAAAAAAAATTAAAAAATTATTATAAATTATCATATTATTTTTTTACAATCTTGTTATAAGTAGTTAAAAAATTATTAAAATAACATGTTCAAATCTAAGATCTTATTTGTCAGCTATACATTTTAGTTAAAAAGTCACTATAAATTGTCATATCACTTTATCTAATTTTCTGTATATTTTTTTTATAAAAAAATTAAAAAATTATTAAAATAACATATTCTCATATGAGACCTAAATTTCTTCTAAATTTATTTGAATATGTCGCATACAGAAGTTTCTTTTAACAAAAAAACTCATCTGAATAAATTCGGATTAATCAGATGAATGTTTAGTCTAATTTCGTTTAAATGAGTCTTGTGGGGATGTATTTTCTGAATACCAACACGTGGCAAGGTGACGCCAACGTGTCAGCCGAGGTGCCACGTGTCCTGGTCGTAACGCCGAGGTTATCTCGACGAGGCCGAGATTATCTCCGAAGATATCGGAATCCGAGATAAGCGGATAATGGATAAGGAGCAAGAATCCCAGAGTAAAGAGAAGACTTTGCTAAGATAAGAATAAAACTCTTAGGGAGTTTATCTTTATCTCTTGAGGAATCCAAAGTAAGCACTAAATTGAAGTCCATAGAAGTCAGGCTTCTAGTGGGACTAGGATTGAGTTAACTATAAAAGAGAGCCACCCCGTGGGTCTAAGGTACGCAGTTTTATGCTTAAGCTTGTGAGTTTAGCACTTGATTATCTTTGAGAGATATATTGACTTGATCGTCGGAGTGTCCCCAGGTGGAAGAGCCACCGCCAGAGCCTTATATTTCTGTTACAGGTTTACTGAAGCCATCTATTCTGCCGGTGCTCTCCAGCTGATTACTAGACGGGCAGTGTGGTCAGAAAATTACCCACACAATTTGGCGCCGTCTATGGGAATCTTAGAAGAATAGATGGCCAGTAACGGACAGAAGGAAAACATTGGGGGCGACACTCCTGTTGAGAGTGACAGACCAATTGACCTTGATGTTGAAGAAGACAATCACAATGCAGAAACTCATGACCACGGCCACATCGAGAAAGACGTCGGCCAGGGGGGCAACACTTCGAAGAAGACAGACCAAGGTAGGTACTATAACGAAGATAACCTCCAGGTATGGAGGGATAGGTGCCTACGGAGGGTTGAGGAAGTAAAAGACTTGGCGAACAAGTTGGCAGACGTACAGTCAGTGGTCAACTTCATGATGCAGAACAATGTTATGCAGCCACCATACTCGCTGCAAGATACGCCGATGCCAGCAATTAATACCCAGAAGGGATGAAGGAAAATAATCCCCGAAGCCCCTCAGCACACTAGGAGCGGAAGGCACTCTCACCGACCTTCTAGGGAAGTCGGACGAGAGGAGCCGAGGCAAGAAGAGTCCCGAAGGACACATCACATGAAGGATCCGGAGCCCAAAGAACATCGGCATGTTCAAGGGCAAGCACTCTGCTTTGACACAACCCATGGGGAAAGATCGAAACGGACCCACCACGAGGCCGAAAGTAGTGTGCCAAAAAGATTGAAGTCCAGAGATAGCCGAGCTCCAGGTAGGAGTAAAGAAGACTTGAGGGATTACCTCAAAAGGAAGCAACAAAATGTTGAAGCCGAGGTAACTTCCCCAGTTAAGCCGAGAACACCATTCTCGGTGGAACTAGATAAATTTGAAGCGCCAAAGAGATTCAGTATGCCGAGGTTCCAAATTTATGATGGTAAGTCAGATCCCAACTTTCATGTTGGACTATACCTGAATTCAATGGCATTATATAGTGGGAACGAGCCGTTGCTCTGCAAAGTATTCCCCTCATCCTTTGGGAAAATTGCATCCGATTGATTCTATAAACTACCAAAGGGAAGCGTAAAGACGTGGGAAGGCCTAGCCGAGATGTTTGTGGCCAGGTTTGTGACGAACAAACTACACCCTTTAAAGGTCGACGCCCTGATGGCTTTAAGAATCACCAAGGAAAAAGCCTTTAGGGCCTACGCGAAGAGATACTACGAGGTGTTCAATCGAATACCCGAATGCAGCCAAGAAGTGGCAGTCGTATCTTTCAAGAACGGCCTGAAAGATGACTGCCCACTACGGAAGTCTTTGGCAAAACATTGCCAAAATGCATGGAAGAACTCATGGCGAGAATCGAGAAGTATGCCAGAGCCGAGGAAGATACGTCGGGAAACAAAGAGATAAAGCAAGAGAAGGGAAACGGCTCGCCGAAGCGAGGCCGAGGTAACAACGGGCCGACCAAACAAGAAACAGAATTAAAAAGTAAACAGGCAGTGACGACGGTGTTCCGAATCCCTATCCATAAAGTCCTGGATCAAATACGAAACCAACCTTATTTTAGGGCACCGGCAAGAGCACCAGGGGAATTTATGGAAAGAAACGTTGGTAGGCGTTGTGCTTACCACAATGAAGAAGGACACCCAACTCAGGGTTGCAGAGCCTTAAAAGCACACTTAGAAGACCTAGTAAGGCAAGGCCATCTCAGGGACCTCGTCGACGAAGCCAGGACAAGAGAAGAGCAGGCAAGATTGCCTCAAGCACCAATGGCCCCGCCTCCCCCAGCACAGCAACCACAGGGAGGGGGACCTAGGGTAGTTAATGTAATTCACTCAAAAGTGAACGAAAGCGACATTCGGGGAGAAACCCAAAGAGTAAAACACCTGCAGCACGTGAACCAGATCGGACATAAAAGACCTCGGCCTGAAGAATGCCAAGGACCGATGATAACCTTCACTAAAGCCGACCTGGAGATGGTCCAGCATCCGCATAATGATGCCTTGGTAGTATCCCTCCAGGTTGGGGAGTACCAAGTGAGGCGCATCCTGATTGATCAAGACAGCTCTTGCGACATCATGTATGTCAGATGTTACAAGGAGCTGGGCCTTCATCCTGACGACCTGGAACAATCCAGCAACCCGATGGTCGGGCAGGAGGACCAGGGGTGGTTAATGTCATTCACTCAAAAATGAACGAAAACGACATTCGGGGAGACACCCAAAGAGTAAAACACCTGCAGCACGTGAACCAGGTAGGACACAAAAGACCTCGGCCTGAAGAATGCCAAGGACCGATGATAACCTTCACTAAAGCCGACCTGGAGATGGTCCAGCATCCGCATAATGATGCCTTGGTAGTATCCCTCCAGGTTGGGGAGTACCAAGTGAGGCGCATCCTGATTGATCAAGGCAGCTCTTGCGACATCATGTATGTCAGATGTTACAAGGAGCTGGGCCTTCATCCTGACGACCTGGAACAATCCAGTAACCCGATGGTCGGCTTCAATGGAACGCCAACGTGGCCACTGGGCGCAGCAAGCGTGGAAGTACAAGCTGGTACTAAGAAAATCAAGACAGAATTTATGGTGATTGACACACCCTCACCATATAACATCATCTTGGGAAGGCCATGGTTGCATGCAATGGGGGTAGTTCCCTCAACGTTGCATCAACTACTGCGGTTCCCAACAGAGCATGGGATTGAAGAAATCAGAGAAGATCAACTGTAGGCAAAAAATTGCTCTATGGCAGCAATGAAGTCTACCTGCTGCGTACGAGAGCCAAAGAAGGCAGAAATTGAAGATGAGGACGTGGAAGTCCTAGAAGACGTCGACAAAGAACTAGCTGAGAAGTACGAAGAGGCACTAAAGAAAATCCTCGTCCAGGATGAGGATGAAGAACGCTTCTTTCTTCTCGGTTCAGGCGTAGCCGAAGAAGAGGAGAAAGAGTTGGAAACTTTTCTAAGAGCCAACATTGAGGTGTTCGCCTGGACACCTTACGAAATGCCTGGCATTGACCCCGAGGTCACTTGCCACAGATTGAATGTCGACAGGTCTGCAAAACCTGTGATTCAGCCAGAAGATCGACGTTAATGCACGTCGAAGCAGTAGAAGAAGAAGTAGACAGACTTCTGGAGGCCAGGGCCATCCGAGAAGTTCACTACCCGACATGGCTGTCCAACACAGTAGTGATGAAGAAGAAAAACGGCAAATGGAGGGTCTGTGTAGACTTTACCAGCCTCAACAAAGCCTGCCCCAAAGACAGCTTTCCTCTGCCCAAGATTGACCAGCTAGTAGATGCTACTTCAGGGCGTGAAATGATGAGTTTTCTGGATGCATACAAGGGGTACCACCAGATTGCCATGTACCCTCCAGACGAGAAGAAGACCGCGTTCATCACCCCTAAAAGCCTGTACTGTTACAAGGTAATGCCTTTTGGGTTGAAAAACGCAGAAACAACTTACCAAAGGTTAGTAACAAAGATGTTCAAGCACCTGATTGGCAAAACGGTAGAAGTCTACATCGATAACATGGTCGTGAAGACCAAGGAATCTAAGGGTCATCTTGCCGACCTAAAAGAGGTCTTTGATATACTCAAAACATACCGGCTCCGACTCAACGCATCAAAGTGCGCATTTGGAGTTGGATCAGGTAAGTTTGTAGGGTATCTGGTAACAAGAAAGGGCATTGAGGCCAGCCTAGACCAAATCAAGGCCATCCTAGAGCTGAAGAGCCCGACGTTAGCAAAACAGGTTCAGATGCTTACTGGAAGGGCCGCAACACTAAACAGATTCATCAGCAGAAGCTCAGATAAGTGCAGACCCTTCTTCAACCTGGTGAAAAAAGCGACAGACTTTCTGTGGACAGAAGAATGCGAAGCCGCTTTGACCGACCTGTAGAAGTACTTGACCACAACTCCGGTTCTTTCCAATCCAGAACCAGGGGAAGAACTGTTTTTGTACTTGGCAGTTTCAGAACACGCAGTCAGTGCAGTGCTAATCCGAGAAGAAAAATGGGAGCAAAAGGCTGTTTACTATGTAAGCAAAACCTTGGCCAACGCAGAAGTAAGGTATCTACCACTGGAGAAATTAATGCTAACCTTAGTAATGGCTTCAAAGAAGTTGAACCATTACTTTCAGGCGCACAAGATTGTGGTCCTAACAGAGCATCCACTGAAGTCCTTGTTGCAACAAGGAGACTTAACAGGAAGAATAGCAAGATGGGCAGTTGCCTTGGGCCAGTATGACCTGGAGTTTAGACCTAGAACAGCAAAAAAGGGCCAAGTTTTGACCGACTTCGTGGCAGAATTCACCCCTGAAACCATTGAACATCGGGCTCCGTTGAGCCAAGATGAGCATCGTCCCAGCAAACAAGGAGAATCCCAGCCCAAGGCAAAAGAGCAAAAGAAGGAAAAACGCAGCATCTACATCGGCGACTCATTCAGACTGTTTGTCGATGGAAGTTCAAACCAACAAGGAGCGGGGGCAGGAGTACTGCTGATATCTCCAGATGGAGAAATAATAGAACAACCCATCCGTTTGGGGTTCAAGGCCTCAAACAATGAAGCAGAATACGAAGCATTAATTACAGGGCTAAAACTGGCAGCAGTAGTAGAAGCAGGTGAGGTAATTGTTTTTTGTGATTCACAACTTATTGTTAACCAGTCAATAGGAGAATTTGCAGCCAGAGACGAAAGGTCGATGGAAGTTCGAACCAACAAGGAGCGGGGGCAGGAGTACTGCTGATATCTCCAGATGGAGAAATAATATAACAGCCCATCCGTTTGGGGTTCCAGGCCTCAAACAATGAAGCGGAATACGAAGCATTAATTGCAGGACTAAAACTGGCAGCAGCAGTAGAAGCAGATGAGGTAATAGTTTTTTGTGATTCACAACTTATTGTTAACTAGTCAACAGGAGAATTTGCAGCCAGAGACGAAAGGATGTCAGCATATGCAAAAGAGGTCATCAGATTGGCAGCCTTATTTCAGAACTGCCGACTACTCCAAGTTAGCCGAGATGACAACACCCACGCCGACGCGTTGGCTAACCTAGCAAGTTCAATGCAGACTGGAAAAACAAGGACAATTATGATCGACTATATGTCGGGCCCGAGCATAGAACCAAGGAGCACAGAACAGGAAGCAATGTGTGTGGACTTGGGGCCAAGCTGGATGGATGCAATTGTTGCATTCCTGAAAGAAGGAAAGCTGCCAGAAGATCGTAAGGAGGCACACAAAGTCAAATTGAAATCGGCAAGGTTCTGTCTGACAGCAGATGGACACCTCTACAGAAGGTCCTTCACTGGAACCCTTTTAAGATGCGTACACCCTTTGCAGGTTGAAGATTTCCTATATGAAATTCATGAAGGAAGTTGTGGAAGCCATGTTGGGGGCAGATCATTAGCCCACGGGGCCATTACCCAGGGGTATTGGTGGCCCTACATGCAAAAGGATGCTGAAGCCTACGTGAAGAAGTGTGAACAATGCCAAAAGTTTGCACCTTTGATACATCAGCCAGCTGCTGACCTAAACCTAGTATCCAGCCATTGGTCGTTTGCCCAATGGGACATGGATCTTGTTGGGCAACTTCCCCAGGCAACTGGGCAGAGAAAATACTTGCTGGGGGCAGATCATTAGCCCACAGGGCCATTACCCAGGGGTATTGGTGGCCCTACATGCAAAAGGATGTTGAAGCCTACGTGAAGAAGTGTGAACAATGCCAAAAGTTTGCACCTTTGATACATCAGCCAGCTGCTGACCTAAACCCAGTATCCAGCCATTGGCCGTTTGCCCAATGGGACATGGATCTTGTTGGGTAACTTCCCCAGGCAACTGGGCAGAGAAAATACTTGCTGGTGGCAATAGATTACTTTACGAAGTGGATAGAGGCAGAACCTCTTGCCAAAATCCAAGATGTGGACGTCAAGAACTTTATATGGAGAAACATCATCACCAGATTTGGCATTCCAAGAGCAATAGTTACCAACAACGGAACACAGTTTGACAGCAAACTCATCAAGAACTTCTGCGCGAAATTCAAGATAAAGAATTACTTTTCAACACCAAGTTTTTCCCAAAGCAATGGGCAAGCAGAAGCATCCAACAAAGTAATTTTGGATGGGATAAAGAAGAGGCTACAGACAGCAAAGGAAAAGTGGGTAGACGAATTGCCCAACGTGCTTTGGGCATATCGGACTACGCCGAGAAGATCAACAGGGGAATCCCCTTTTGCCATGGCTTATGGCACAGAAGCAGTCATTCCACTGGAAGTCGGCATCCCAGGGATCCGAACCCAGGGAGTTGAGAACAGGACAAATGACATACTCTTAGCCCGAGATCTGGATCTTTTGGAAGAACGAAGAGAAAAAGCTGCAATTCAGTTCGCAGTATACCAGCAACAGCTTGCTAGAGCTTACAACAAGAAGGTCAATCCAAGAGATTTTCTAGGCGGCGACGTAGTCCTGAAGAAGGTCGTCGGCAACAAGAAGGATCCTAGAGAGGGCAAGCTTGGCCTAAACTGGGAAGGACCCTACAGAATTACTTCGGTATTAGGCAATGGAGCTTATCGGCTTGAAGATAACGAGGGAAAAGCACTGCCAAGACCTTGGAACACTTGTAATTTGAAATTCTTCTATCATTAGATGTGCATTGTTTTTGGCCGAGGTAATCAATAAAATCTTTTCCCTTTTCTTTAAACACATATGATTGATAAAGTTACATATTGATGTTTTTGGAGACATGAATAATGAGAACCCAAGTAGAACTCAGGTTCACATTGGGGGAAGAGAGAAGACAGAGACACTTAATTCACTTGTTGAAATTTGTAGCAATTTACAAGTTGGAAGTTAAGCCAAGATGTTTCCTTATCTTCACTTGTTGAAATTTGTAGCAATTTACAAGTTGAAGTTAAGCTGAGATGGTTTCTTATCTTCACTTGTTGAAATTTGTAGCAATTTACAAGTTGAAAATAAGCTGAGAGGGTTTCTTATCTTCACTTGTTGAAGTTTGTAGCAATTTACAAGTTGAAGTTAAGCTGAGATGGTTCCTTATCTTCACTTGTTGAAATTTGTAGCAATTTACAAATTGGAAGTTAAGCTGAGATGGTTCCTTATCTTCACTTGTTAAAATTTGTAGCAATTTACAAGTTGGAAGTTAAGCTGAGATGGTTCCTTATCTTCACTTGTTGAAATTTGTAGCAATTTACAAGTTGAAGTGAAGCCGAGGTCGTTGCTTAAACCCTTATAGCAATCTACAGGTTAGTTAAACCTAAAGAAGATGCTTAACACTTGTTGAAATTTGTAGTAAATTACAAGATGACGTTAAGCCGACATATGATTATCTATTGAAATTTGCAGCAATTTACAGGTTGAAATAAAAGCTAAGTATATTGTTTAAACACTTGTTGAAATTTGTTGCAATTTACAAGTAGATCATTGTTTAAGCACTTGTTATAACTTGAGAAATGTTTTCAAAGATAGCATTGAATAGTGTATACTTGTTGAAATTCATGAAAAGTTTGCAGGTCAGTATCTTGCTGAAATAAAGCTTGTAGTTACTATACCCGAGGTCTTTAACCCCGAGAAGATTGCACAAATGAGGCAAAGTATGAAAGGCATGCCAAATATTCTAAGAATAGAACCATGCAGAAGCAATCAAGAGAAAATAAAGACTAAAGCATTCAAAGAAAAATAGTTGCAGTTGCGTACAAAGAAGGCACTACGGCCTAACCAAAAGCAAATTGATCGGTAGTAATAGAGATAGGCACATCGGCCACAAAAGAAAGCTTACATTGTCCAGAACACAGAAAAGTAAAAATGTTAAAACAAAGAAAGACATTGGAGTCAGGCTCCTTCAGCATCAACAGCTGGATGGGCTGGAACCTCGGAGGATTCTGGTGGAACCACCTCGGCAATCTTTTCTGCCGCCAACTCGGCATCAATTTCGGCAAGTGTTTGATCAACACTTCTATCGACTGGAGGAACATCAAATGATGCTTGCTCAGGAGTGGTCTCCTTGATAACCTCCTCATCCTCCTCATGAGTCAAGTCTAGGACTTGATCATCCTGAGGAGGAGACTTGGTCTCACTAGCGTCTTTGGGCTTCCTTACCAAAGCCTCATCATCATCCTTATCCTCATCCTCAGATTCAGACTCAGATTCATCTTCAGCTTGGCTTGGCGGAGGAGGTGGAGGAAATGGAAGAGGAATAGCGTCGGCTTGGCGTAGTGGTGAATTCTCAAGAAGATTAAGTTTTTTTGCAAGGGTCATCCAACCAAGGGAGAAGCCCCTGTTGCATGCCTGCCTAACTTGTAGGTTGTATTCCTCTGTAACGTCGGCCATTCCTTGAGCATAGGCCTTTTCGTCTGCCGCTTTGATTTCGGCGTCTTTAGTAGATAAAGCGTCTTGAAGTTCCTTTTCCGCTTGGGCCTTTTTGTCCTCGGCCTCTGTAGACGCGCCCACGGGGGCCTCATGCTACAGTTCGGACTCTCGATTTTGTTTCACGGTTCTTAATCTGAACCAAAGAGTCCAAATCTGGCAAATCGTTTTGAGAAATAGATTTTTGAAAAGAAGCGCCAAACATGGACTGCTTTGCCAGATACAGAGTCGCCACCTAAATATTTTTTAAATGGGGAAATTTAGGAAACCCTGACTCGGTGTCGAAGGCCACATGTCCGTCATCACCGGAGTTGTCTCGGCTCGGGAGCTTGGGTTAACATTGAGTAGTATATGTTTTATACTTGTTGAAATTCATGAAAAGTTTACAGGTTAGTATCTTACCGAAGTAAAGCTTGTAGTTACTATACCCGAGGTCTTTAACCCCGAGAAGATTGCACCAAGGAGGCAAAGTATGAAAGGCATGCCAAATATTCTAAGTATAGAACCATGCAGAAGCAATCAAGAGAAAATAAAGACTAAAGCATTCAGAGAAAAACAGTTGCAGTTGTGTACAAAGAAGGCACTACGGCCTAACCAAAAGCAAATTGATCGGCAGTAATAGAGATAGGCACATCGGCCACAAAAGAAAGCTTACATTGTCCAGAACACAGAAAAGTAAAAATGTTCAAACAAAGAAAGACATTGGAGTCAGGCTCCTTCAGCATCAACAGCTGGATGGGCTGGAACCTCGGAGGATTCTGGTGGAACCACCTCGGCAATCTTTTCTGCCGCCAACTCGGCATCAATTTCGGCAAGTGTTTGATCAAGACTTCTATCGACTGGAGGAACATCAGATGATACTTGCTCAGGAGTGGTCTCCTTGATAACCTCCTCATCCTCCTCATGAGTCAAGTCTAGGACTTGATCATCTTGAGAAGGAGACTTGGTCTCACTAGCGTCCTTGGGCTTCCTTACCAAAGCCTCATCATCATCCTTATCCTCATCCTCAGATTCAGACTCAGATTCATCTTCAGCTTGGCTTGGAGGTGGAGGTGGAGGAAATGGAAGAGGAATAGCGTCGGCTTGGCGTAGTGGTGAATTCTCAAGAAGATTAAGTTTTTTTGCAAGGATCATCCAACCAAGGGAGAAGCCCCTGTTGCATGCCTGCCTAACTTGTAGGTTGTATTCCTCTGTAACGTCGGCCATTCCTTGAGCATAGGCCTTTTCATCGGCCGCTTTGATTTCGGCGTCTTTAGTAGATAAGGCGTCTTGAAGTTCTTTTTCGGCTTGGGCCTTTTTGTCCTCGGCCTCTCTCTTTTCGGCCTCGGTGACCTTCTTAATAGCCTCGGCAGATTCGGCCTTTTCTTCGGCTAGGGTTTGGGCTTTGGTGGCAGCCTCAGCCTGGTCTTCAAGCTTCTTCATCTTTGTCAGAAAAGTTTTGTTTTCCTTTTTTAGGGCAGAAACCTCCCGCCTCATATCGGCCAACTTCTCCCTTATTTCAAAAGCTTGCATAGAGAGAGAATGGGCATGTTGAATGGCCTGAAAGAACCCAAGGAAAAAGTTATTTCACAAAGTTTACAAGTATAGAAAAAGAGGCAGAAAGACAAGTTGCCAAATGGGGGAACTTACTTGTACAGAACGTTGGAGCATGAAGGCGTAGTTCTCGTACTCGCTCATCTTGACATTCCGCTCAAGATCGCCAGAAAGGAGAACAGCAGTACTGAGTGCCACGCCGACATTGATGTCATCGGCACTGTCACAGGCTAGAACAGGCTTATCTTCCAGGGTGATTTCAGGCACCCAGGGGACTCTTGGTATTTTGGAACCCGAGGTCGTCGCAAACGATGACCTCGGCTTCTTTGATTGAGTGAACTCTGATGGCTGTGTTTCAGCAGACCTTTTTGTGGGAACCGAAGCGGTCTTCCCACTCTCAGCCAGTTTGGATATAGGTAAAGTGTCCTCAGATTCAACCTGAGTCACTTTAGCCTTTGGCTGGGCTTTCTTGGTTCTCTTCGGCTTTGGTTGGGGCATGGTTTGTGTTGGCTGAGCGTTAACGTCCGTAGGAAGGTCGGCTAGGAGATCTTGGGCAACAGGCTTCGGGCGACCCATCTCAGCAGTTTTGACAAGTCGTCGCTGACGTTTTCTTTCTGGTATTGGGATTAAGTATGGGGCTGAAGTTGATGGTTGATCGGCTGGATCAGAGGTTGACCCTTAATCAGCCTGAGATGTTGATGCGGTTTGTAGAGTAGTAGCAGAGGGAGGAGATAAGCTCTTCTTCTTTCTTTTCGGGACGTCGGGCAGTGTAGACTTGTACGTCGGAATAAAATTCAGCACCAGTGGAGCCTTGCGCTTTTGGATTGGCAGATCTAGAAGCCTCTTTAAGTCTTTGCTGGGAACGTAAGATTGGCGAAAGTCTTTTGGTGGCTTACGAACGTCTGCAAGAAGAAACAGACATTAGAAATAGATAAAATATTGAAGACGTGAACAGAAACAACTAAGTATTGACACTGGGCTCTTACCCTTGCCCTCTTTAACTGATCGGGGAAGAGGGTAGAGATGGGCGTCATCGTCTGCGCCAAACTCCCAATTTCCCGAAGCAATAACATAGTCATCTCCAGCCCCCTTGTTGGAGTCAGGAAGGTCGGCTACGATTTTGAATTTAGTGGACCTCGGCTTGAGGTAATAGACGTAGCCTTTTTCCTTTAGGTTAAGGAGGCACATAGTATAACAGTACTGAATGTCGGCAAGGGTGATCCTAGCGTTCTCCTGCCTAGCTAAAACTATGATGCCATTGATCACTCGATAAGAGTTTATGGCAAGTTGCATAGGGTTCAACTTGTAAAAGTGAAGAATTTCGCGAAAGAGAATGTTAAGTGGGAGCCGGAGTCCGCACTCAGTAAAAGCTACTATGGGAAAGGGCATTGAATCATCTATGGGCATGATGGAGTCGTTATCTTCAGCCAGCCTCAAATGGACATCGGCAGGAATAGAGAGCCCTTGCCTAAAGTACTCAAGTTTGGTCGGGGTGTCTACCCTATGTCTCCACATACCCATAACGTCGGCCTAAGAGGGCTAGGTTTCAGAAAAAAGATGCTCTTAAGGGGTTATCGGGACCTCGGCGAAACCCTAGGTATATGCAGGTAAGGATTGTTTCAGTTTTTTCCTAAGAATTGATAGGTTCTATAGACAAATCCCAAACCTAAATCTATGAAGGCAAAGATTGAAAGGAAAAATTGAAGGCAGAGATCTAGAAAACAACACAGGAAACAAAAAACCAGAACGCAGTTTCAAAACGAAGAACAGAAGTGGGGTTCTCAAAAGCATAAAGAAAACAAGAACTACAGGGCCAAGAACAGTGGCGAAAATGCAAGAAGTGGTGAACAATAAATATAATTCACGGAATTAACTGTTTAAACAAAAACAGTAATGGCAGCAAGAAGATAGAAGAACATCAGTAAAAATGAATACACAAGGAATAGTGGCTTACCAGAGAAAATGAAGCCGGAATGGGGTTCGCCGAAGACAGACGACAGTTACAGTAGTGACAAAGTAGCGAGAGCCTCACCAGAGAGACGAATGAAGTTGCAGAGCTTGGATCTTGAAACAATGACGGATTCGAGAGAAAAAGTTTTAGAGAGAGAAAAAAGAAAAAGAACTTAAGCGCAAAGTGAAAAGACAAAAGCAAAGATAGTGTCTTTGTTGAAAACGTGAAACGGCAGAAAAATAAGGCATTTATTGCGCCTGGAAAACCGCGACGAATGAAGTTGCAGAGCTTGGATCTTGAAACAATGACGGATTCGAGAGAAAAAGTTTTAGAGAGAGAAAAAAGAAAAAGAACTTAAGCGCAAAGTGAAAAGACAAAAGCAAAGATAGTGTCTTTGTTGAAAACGTGAAACGGCAGCAAAATAAGGCATTTATTGCGCTTGGAAAACCGCATGCGTCAGACGGCGCAGACAGATTAAGACGGCTTACAAGCGCGTCACAGGCACGGGCCAATAAAGATGAAACGTGTGCAGGAAACGGTTGAGAAGTGATGCATGACAGCTCATGCGCGTGGAAAAGTTCATTTGAGTTCTTGTTCTTGAAAACAAGACATATCGGCTTGACATGAATGATCTCGGCCGAAGAGTTCTTATGCCGAGGTACTAGAAGACAATACAGATATAGGTTCCATCACCTCAGAATGTCGAGGTAATAGAACCTAGGGGGCAGTTGTGGGGATGTATTTTCTGAATACCAACACGTGGCAAGGTGACGCCGACGTGTCAGCCGAGGTGCCACGTGTCCTGGTCGTAACGCCGAGGTTATCTCGGCGAGGTCGAGATTATCTCCGAAGATATTGGAATCCGAGATAAGCGGATAATGGATAAGGGGCAAGAATCCCAGAGTAAAGAGAAGACTTTGCTAAGATAAGGATAAAGCTCTTAGGGAGTTTATTTTTATCTCTTGAGGAATCCAAAGTAAGCACTGAATTGGAGTCCATAGAAGTCAGGCTTCTAGTGAGACTAGGATTGAGTTAACTATAAAAGAGAGGCACCCCCGTGGGTCTAAGGTACGCAGTTTTATGTTTAAGCTTGTGAGTTTAGCACTTGATTATCTTTGAGAGATATACTGACTTGATCGTCGGAGTGCCCCCGGGTGGAAGAGCCACCACCGGAGCCTTATATTTCTGTTACAGGTTTACTGAAGCCATCTATTCTGCCGGTGCTCTCCAGCTGATTACTAGGCGGGCAGTGTGGTTAGAAAATTACCCACACAAGTCTCTTTCAAACTCTCTTTTTTTTAAAAAAAAATCATTCAGATAAATTCAAATTAATGGAATCAATTTCAATTAAACAAATTCGTGGTAGTGTTGTTTGGTTTGTACGCTTCTATACGATCCCATTCACCCTCTGTTTTTGTTTTTGTTTTTTTTAAATTAAATTTTTTTATGATAAATTACACTTATCCTTGGTTTATACTTAATACTGATTTCCTCTCAATTTTTTTTAAATTACACTAGTGCTCCGTTTGTATTAGGGGTGGGCGTGGGTCGGTTGCGGCCACGGAACCTCCAATCCGCCATCCGTTCGCCAAATTGGCGGATTGGAGAAACTCAATCCGCATCTGTCCACCAATCCGGCGGATGCGGATTGAGCGAATTGGCGGATGGATGCGAATTGGTCTGGCGGTTTGAAATTTTATAAATTTTCAACATAGTTCACTTATGCACTTCCTCAAAAAAAAAAAGAGTATTACAGTCAATGACTTAAAAAAGTATTACAATTACTGCATGTCTCATCCAAAGAAAGAAAGTTTGAAACTTTAAAATATCACAATCACTGCATGCCTCATTCACATATTACAATCACAGCATGCCTCATCCACATAAAGTATTACCATCCGTTGTTCTTAAAATATAAAAATAATTCAAACCACCAAAACCATGAACAGAGCAATAGTAGAGATTGTATGTCTCTGTATTGTTACATTTATATATGTTTTTGAAAATAAAAACTAATCACCATATATCATATTTTCTATTTATTACTTTTAGAGTTAGATTTAAAAACCAAAAAATATAGATAAATAATACGTTTATTTTTTTCAATTCAAAAAATATATTCAAGTTAAAAACTTTTTTTCAACAGAATATTTGAACTCTTTTTCAATTGAAAACACAAACAAAATACTTAAACAAATTGAAAACACAAAGTCTTATAAATTACTAAGGGTGCTCGCGGTTTGGCGGTTCAGTTGCGGCCAAAGGAACCTCAGATCCGTCATCCGTCCGCCCAATTGGCGGATTGGAGAAAATTAATCCGCAACCGTCTGCTCGTCATCACGCATCTGTTCAAAATGCGGCGGATCGGTTCGGTTTGGTCGGTTTTGGCGGATCGATATATCCGCTGCTCACCCCTAGTTTGTATAACTTAAAAAAAATAAAATAAAATCTACCTATTCTGGCAATTGAAGTGAAATTTATTTAACTTTAAAAATAATAAAATTTTGCCAAACTTAACATAACAAAATTTTACTTCATCGAAAATCATGAGAATGATTGCTGAAAAACAGTTTAGTCAACTAACAATAGTCTGTCCTCAAAAAAAAAAAAAAAACTAACAATAGTCACCGAAAAATTGTCATAGGTGGTGGGGATAATGCAAGTGCATCAAGGATAATTTTGTCTAAAAAACTTAGGCATTTATTTTAAAAAATATATTTTAATTATAGGATAAATTACAGGACCGAAAAAATTAATTACAAAAAATGATAAATATTAATAATAAAAAAGTATAAATTTTTTCATGAATATGTAACAAATTTTCAAAATTAAACTTGAATAGTAATTTCTCCCAAAATAAATTAACTAGTTTGATTTTAGTTGGGTTTTCTAATTGGATTGTGATATTGGGCATTAGTGATTCTATCACAAAATTCATATTGATAATTGAATTCATTCATCTTATAAGACTCTTCGAGCATATTATCCATGAAAACAAAACAAAAAAAGACAAACAAACAAATTAATCGAAAGACCATAAGCACAAGATTTGTTCTTATTTATTTTCAAAAAAATAGACAATAATAATCTAAACTATTAATCTTGTAAAGTGATCTTAATGATCATTTACACAAAAAAATCAAGTCAATCGAATTGTCATAGTTGGCCTTTTTTGGCAAGAAGTTAAAATCAATTTTTTTAGCTTTTAATCTCTTTTCAATCATATCACCTCTTTACTTTTTTGTACGTTTTTTTTAAAAGAGCCAAAAAAATAAAAAGCTAACTTTTAACTTACTTTCCAAAATAACCCGTCATATGATCAAATCACATTTATTTTCAAAATAATAGACAATTTATTCTTAAAATTGTACTCGATGTTTATTTTTTTGAAAATAAATAAGAACCAATCATGCGGTCGCAGTTTCTCTTTTTTTTTTTTCCACAATAAACTTATTTGTTGAACAACCTTCTCCTCGATGTCATATGAACTGGATCTCCATACTTTCAAATTTCCTGCTGGCCTTCCTTCTAAAATTCCAAACAAGTTTTGTCATCTATTGTTGGCATCTCCACCAAGAATTCATTCTTATGTAGACAATCACTTGTCCCTCTCTCTGGAGCCTAAAATGCATAATAAGGTAAATTTCCCAAATAATTGTCTCCCATTTTGAAACCTAAATTATTTACCAATTCTCATCACCTAAAACAAAATGGAAAAATTAACAAGTTTCCCATTTTCATGACCAAAAAAAATTAAATTTTTCCATAAATCCAAACCTAAACTCAACCAAATCTCAAAATCAAATCTAAACTTCAAATCTATCCCTAAACTCAACCAATCTAAAAAATCAACTTTGTATCAACAGAAAACGAAAATTTTCAATGGATATGGGTCAGGCTAGGTCAACTTGAGCCACATGATATTTTCCATCACAAAAAATATGAGGGGGTTGGAATTTGGACCAAGGTAAAGAATTTAATAATTCAGAGACTAAAGTGAGTGTTACGTTTTTTTGGATTACTTGCAACCCATGATATGGCTAATAAATCAATTATACCTTTGATATAACTAATAAAGATTATAAAAAGCATAAGGTGGCACCATAATTTAAGCCCAAAATTTTATCTAGAATAACATTTATGCTGTGTTTGGTTGGATTTATTCACATTTCACCTATCTTTTTCATTTCCTTTTTCAAATCATTTCTCAAATTTTCCAACCAAACACAACATTATAATCTAAATTCAACAGTGAACCATACACCTAAAATGAATCAGGACCACACAGTGCTTTTTCTAGGATAAATTTATAGGCACAAATATTGGGTATGTAACAAGGGGGAGAGAGAGAGAGAGAGAGAGGATTCAAAATAAACCAAGTGGGTTGTTCCATAGAGCAGACAAACTCATTTAACCAAGTTGTCATGAGAGAGGTTTTCAAAAATTGAACACTTCTGTTCAATACCATGGTATTGGGTCCAAAGATGATAGGTCTACCCAAAAATCACAACATTCTAATTCTCATAATAGGAAGCTCATAAACCAAGTTCAACAAAAACAAAGAACGGCAATTCCATATAGAAGGGAAATTTGTTGATAGATTCCTCAATGTCAATGCCACACATATATATCAAAAATCAATGAGCTCTAGAAACATATATATCAAGCTATACAAGTTACCTAGCAGCAGAAAAAATAAATAAATAAATATCAATTTTGGCATATTCTAGAGAGTTTATAGTAGAGAACAACAGGGTTAGCCCAGTGTACCTCACTAGGTAGTCATGGGTTCAACTCCCTTCCCCCCTCCAATGTATAAAAAATAAAACAAAATAAAATGTTTAAAGGTTTTCGCAACATTTATTCTTTTTAGTGTGTTGCAGCAAGTTCTGAAACTCTACTTAAAGAAGAGAAATAAGGGTACCAAACCAAACCAAGCCTTAAGTCCCATCAAATGGGGTAGAAATAAGGGTAATGAAAATAAAAATGCAAAACTATGCTTCTAAGGTCTCTTCATCTTGACCAAGAGGCCAAGAACAGGATTCATTTCCGGCCCTCACTTTCTTTCTTGACTGTGAAAGAGGGGCAGTGAAAGCCCAGACAGACACTGCTTCAATGATACTACCCTCCTCCAAACAGAATTCATTCAGTTCCTTCCTGAAAAGAAATGTTTAACAATTACAGATTTAGACTATATATATTTCAATTTAAATACACTACAGATTTACATACATACCAAAATCAAGAAGCTGGATCCACGCATTTTTACATAAAATGACGTAAATGAACTTTGATCAATCACAAGATTCTTCTCTCACTTGAGGCCACCCCTTCATCAACCTCCATTCCCATTTCTCTGGCTCTCTCTGAAAGACTAAAACCAGTCCATCTCTCTCTCTACTCAACTCTCACTTTCTGTCTTCAACCTCCCCGGAAGAGAACTCCTTTGCCCTCCAGGAAATCTGAAAAAGATGAAAGCCCGACTGAGATCCAATACTTTGGACCCCAGTAGAACCAACATTCGTCAATCCAGTCTCCTATACGATGGGCACCATCTCCATCTTCAGGGGTTTTACACCCAAGGAACATAATCAATCTATTGTTCTCTTTCATCTTCATCTTCTGTGTGCCTTGTTCAAGTTTGGTTGTGTTGTAGTGATTGTGAAGACAGTTTGCTTCTTTTGTGTGGTATGATAGGAACTGATTTTTTATTTTTATTATTTTGCTCAAGAGGATGTCCAGGCCTTCGCCCCGACCAATCCCTTGAGTACACGTAGTCCACCCATCCCACATATACCAGGTAATAAATGGGCCTAACCCCAGGGGTGGCCTCAAGGGGGAGTGAAAAATGGAACTAATTTGAATGAATCCATACAGACATGGCTGTAAAACCTTTGATTTGGAAAAACCAAAATTCCCATGATCAGGGCTTTTTTCATGACAGATTATTCCAAGTCATTTTGCAAATCTTTCTTTTTTTTTTTTTTTTGGTGATAAATAACCAAACTTTATTGAGAAAGCATTAAGATGATGTAAAGAATACAAGAGCGGCCTCAAAAGCCCCACCAAACTAACAAATCAAATCCTCCACAAAATTTACAAAAGCCAACACATCCGGATCTACTAAAACTGTCACCCAACTATACAATACTATCAAAAGCCGCCTGTCTAACCAAGGGATGGAGTGAGCCACCCCTTGAAACACCCGCCTATTACACTCCAACCAAATCAACCTCATTAAACAGTGCGAAACAAGAATCCAAGCCTTTCAACGCCACCTTCCAACCTTCCCCCCCACCCAACTTTGCAAAATTGCAAACACAGAAGCAGTTGAAAGTCATTTTGCAAATCTTTGGTCTCTATATTAGCAAGATGTGATCATAAGGTTTGTCAAGTCGTTTTCTTGTTCTAAATTAGTCTAAATCTTCATTAGTTTAAAAATCCCTTGTAGAATGCCAATCCCCGAAGTTGAAAATGTCTATTTGGTTAACTAAGCATCTTTGTAAGCAATCCTTTTGCAGAGACAACTAAAACAAGTTGAATAATCAAACTTGCAGATTTTACCCTTTTTAATGATTAAACTCTTAAAACTTCCCCACGTGAAACTCTCCGAAAGCATCACTGAGATTTTAAGGATTGCTTGCTCTCTTTCACTTTTCCCTTGCTGTTAAAAAATTCTAACAGGTCATACTCTTTACTGTCAGGCAAAAATGGTGTTTAGACTTCAACCAATTCAAAGCCAAAAATATCCTTAAACCTAAACTTACATTCTCAATGATAAACCCTACAAATTTAAGAACTAGCAAACCATTCTTGAATCCTAGCCAGCTTATCCATCACATGAGGCTCTGCCCTACAGGCTACATCATATTTCCACTGAGAACAGAATCAACTAGAAAATACAAAAAGAGAGTTTCCTAGTAATAGTTTCCTAAGATCATAAAACATCATGAGATAGCAATAACAAAGCTAATGGAAATGTGCCTTTGTACATTTTCATTACATGCATCACACATTTACAAAACTTCCTGTTTGCTATTTCGATTTTGATGACCAAAACACTATGGCCTTGTTTGGGAAGTTGGCTATTTTAGTTGACAATTTGGCTTTTTGACTATTTTAGCCCAGCTAAAATAGTTGTGTTTGGGAAGTTCGTTGGCTTTTCTTTGTAGTTGATTTGATAGTTGCAAGAGAAAAAGTGAAATAATTATGGGTTAGATGTGACATTTTGTCTCAGTGGCTATTTTAACCTATTTTGTCTTTTAGTTCCCAAATACCCTATATATAAAACAGTCAAAACTCACCAGGACTAGTTCAATTGTTTTAAACAACCAGATTTGATAGTCTTTCAGCAAATCCAATAAGAGAATCAATGATAGAGACACACAATATTTTCTCAATCTGATAGAGTAACAAGGAATATCTAGTGACTTCACCATAAATATCCATCCTTGTGCAAGATATAGTTTAAGAAGGCTGGTAGTTAAGATCAATTGCAAAAGTAGGTTGCTACAGACAGCAATTTGTACTATCAACTCAATCAAAGCATAGTCCCAAGCCAACTGAATCCCAAGACTGACGAGAAAAGAAAAGGATCAATGAAGAAAGCTGACCTCAAGAATCATTTCCTTGTTTTATCAAGAACTTCAATGTATCTCTTTGGGACACCATACTGCTCAACCAAATGTCTTCCAAGATCATCAATCACACCCCCTTGAATCAGAACTTCATGTCCTTTCTTACCTGAACAACAACAACAAAAAAAAAAGAAAGAAGGAAAAGATGCAACAGACAGCTTTAAAAGTAACACAAAAATTATACTACCTACGTACCAATACAACCACCAAAAAATAAAATGAGAACCACTGAGTTCATTATGGCCTAGGACCCAACCAAAAAGGAAGTTTGAAAGGACCCCGTCCAAGTCAACAAAAGACTTTAGTGTTTTGCCGATTGAAAAAAAAAAAAAATTTAGTGTTTCTATGCAACTAAATGTATCAGAAACATTTAGTGACCATCACAAAATAGTCAATGAAATCCACAAAAAATTTGTGGTAGGCTGCAGAGAAAACATGCTACCAAATAGTTAATTTACAGCAAAGAGAAAACAACAAAAAGGAAGACAGAGAGAAGATTGAGACAAAATGAATGGCTAATGAGAGAAACTCAAAATTTTGGTTTATTTCCCTTAGACCCATAAATTTAAATTAATATGGTTCTAAGTTAAAACATACCCCCGAGGCTACTAAACAACTAAATAAAGCATAAATTACAACACTCATTCTCAAGTTGGTACAAAGATATATACCATATACAGTACAGACACATGACACAACACATGCACCGCACTAACACACTGACATGATAATATTCAAAAAATAAAAAACATGACATGCGGGAGACATGCAAAAAACATATGATTTTATATATGTACGAATATTTCATTCAAAGTTAATAAAAATATACAACATAATACAAATTTTTATAGGTAAAAATCTACATTTTTCTTTTATCACTAGACCCTAACCCAAGTTATTTTTGTGTAAACTTGAAATGTGTTTCATGCTAAGAAGCACAGACATAGACGTGACAAGACACGGACACGGACACGTGAACATGAAAGTTTTCCAAAAATGCAGGACACGACATGCTACACATGAAAAACGTATAATTTTATATATTTATTCTACATCAAATTTTTTTTTCTAATCAAATTCATCGACTTTGGGTAATGCTCGTGGCAATTTTTTCTTTTTCTTTTTTTATAAAAAAAAAAATGGGGCACCGTGTGTCCCCCAACTTGTCCAACTAAAAAAGATTGAGATACTTCCTCTAGCATGTCCATCATCACGTGCCCAAAGAATGTAAATGCTATATTATGAACTGCAACGAAGAAGACTAAAACGAGTGTACACACACATCCATCAAAATTTACGCATTTCAAAAGAAAGGGTTGATAAGATGGCATACCAGGTAGTTTTGCCACGGATGTACTACAAGCGAATTTCTTCTGCAGCTCTGACGCCAATGCTTCAGCATCCATCAAAAATGACTCCATCCCCGAGAGTTTTGTTACTTTCTTGTTACCTTGTCTCCGCTCTGTCATTATTTGAATGGTTTTCAAAGCACCTTTGCGGACAACTGACTCACTTCCCCTAGTAACTCTGTGATGAGGTTGCATTCGATTTATAAATGTATGCCCTAAATCCTTCTTATGAATTTCAGTTGGGTAAGTTGAGCCTTTCTTGATGGTTCCTTTGTACAAAGCATCACATAGTGCTGCATCCAAAATCACAATTGACTTATTTGTTGGTTTGATTAGATTTTCTTGTTCGATGTACTTAAAGACAACATCAGTGGCTTCTGATGCACTGTAAAGTTTCGAAGTATCAGTTCCCACAGAAGCAAAAATTGGATTAACATGCACACTTGGTTTATAGATCTCCGTCAATTCCAATACTTTATGCAAACTTCCTTCACTGGTACTGTGAACAGTTTGCTCATTTTAGCCGCACGTGCGGTCCAAGCTGGAAAAAATGATGTGCTTCGTTTTACGTGCTCGACCTTTCGATATTTTTGAAATCTGTATTTGATGCTTTCTGATATGTGTAAAATTCATTTGAAGCGAAATGAGTCAAGAAATGATTCAACAAAGAAAAAGGAACTAATTGGTGAGTTATGTATGTGTGCAGGGCACACTCCGGGAAGGACTAACACTCCACCACAGCACTGTGAGTAGTAGTACGGAGATCGTACATTTACTTACTGGTAATGATTCTTATTCTTAACACTTTGTTCCTTACGAGTAATTATATTAACATTTATGCTGATTGGAGATCGGTGTGAATGTATGGGAACGTTGAAAGACTTGTGTACATCAGTATGACTCTGAAACTAATCTGCATTCCAGTTACGATTAATGGTTGTCGATAATGTGCCACAATCTGTAAATTATCTATGTCTCCGCATGAGAATTTCATACGAATTATGAACGTTGGATTAATTTAAAGATAAATCTAACTAGGTTCAGTATGATAAAAAGTGACTTGTGTTATACAAAAACAGGAGGGAAGTGTTTTAAGAGAATTGTTGTACTGTGTTCTGTATTCGGGCGTTAATACTGTAGAAGTGGTTAACAGGGAGAAATGGTAAATGTAAACCCCGCTTACTGGGAACATGATATTCTGAATGGCCTATCAAAGGCTACTACAGTTTATTTGGCTCAACATATGTTTTATGGCATAAATATCTACCCAGAGTGGATCATCAGAGTGAATAATTGGATAAAATCACGGGTTGTTTTATGCGTTAATAACTGTTAAGAATTATGATAAACATCGGATTGACTTACGAATGACTCAACCTGAAGACAGAACTAAATATCAATGACATTGTCATGTAACTCACATTATGATGTAAACTGTTCTGTCTTTGTTAAGTGTACCGTAATGACATGATATGACCAGAAATACTCTATTTTCTGATATGTTACGTTGTGAATAAATGAATGATTGTCCATATATGGAAAAGTATTCATGGCATCCTTAGTACAAGGCCCTTACCCGGGGATAAGAATACCGTGGTCCTATGGCCCTTGCCCGGGGGTAATAATACAGTGGTTCAAGTATGTTACAAGTTCCCGGTACCGGACTGATTTGTTAGCGCTATTGGATGTACCATGTATAATCAAACATGAATTCTGATTTTTGTTTATGATTCAAGCATCATTAAAAATATGTATGCATATGTTTCTGTTTATCCGTTCCATTTACGCTATGTTATGACATGATATGGATTG